GTAGCACTGCGGGGTACGGCGGTTCTTGCTTTCTGTCTGTCCGGATGTAAATCTTCAGCGGAATTCAGTTACAAAGCATTCTTGTACTATCCCATCGTGAAATTTGACATGATAGTATTTCGGGATCAGGTTTTTCTTTTATACACTGTTGGTTGCACACCACAACAAATTCCACGTTTATGACCTTCTCGGTCGTTTTTTCCAGGCTTCATATGGTGCGTTCGTCGTTTTTGGTCTATCGATATGGAATGTTACCAGGGCCATACACATCTCAACCCAGCTAAAAACATTATGCATCGGAGACATAGCACCCATCATCAAGATACAAAACAAGCAACTCACAACTATCACTCTACGGCATGCGACTGATACGACTGAACAGACTATCCCCTCCCCCCCTTCCACCTCTGATACAAATATGCCGCACCAGTATTGTACATCACCAGTATTATATATCACCAAACGCTTGATTGGTTAAAATGTAAAATTTTCAACTATCCTAAATGTGTCTGGAATTATAGCTTGCAGCACGCACATGTTGCTTTTCAAATGCCTCGACCATACATTTTGTGGCAAAAGGATGAAACCGAAATCTTGCATATATACTGTGCTTGTGACTTCATCTTTGAAGCGTAATATTTATCTTGAAATTGATCAAAGCTTTAAATATTTAGACAGCCGTCTATAATACTGTGCAACGACGCACGGAAAACGACAAACGCACCAAACGAAGTCAAACGAGTGACGAGGAAGGTCGTAAAGATGGAATCTGCTGTGGTGTACAACAGCAACGCTTAAGAGAAAATCCGCTTCCGAAGTACTCGGCCGTGCCCCCCAGCCGCCGCGTAGCCGGGGTCTGCAGCTGCAGGCCGACCGGTGACCTTCGCCGATGTTTAAAGTGCAGGCCGCTCGGCGGGCACGGGTGTAACTCAGTCCGACCAGTGTCATCAACCGGGGCCTCATGACGCTCTGGGGCCTGCTGTCACGTTTTGAGACTCGAGCGAATCAGAACGTTTCAGTGGCAGATCGGACTTCGACGAATTCATCACTAAGCCGAAATCTGGGGTTCACTTTAAAACAAAAAAATCAATCACGACTCGACTCAACTGACACTCAACTAAATATGGCGCAGCCTATTATTCAATCTCATGAGTTGACACGCAATGCTGCAGGTTCCTGTGGAAGGTTTATTAGGACCATTGGTTCATTCCATAAACTTGACCCGTCAGCTTTTGGATTCGAGTGATGTGTTAAAATGGACCCATTTGTCAGTCGTTTCGATGCGTGTTTCAAAGTACCCTGGAATAACTAGACCGTGCAAAATAATTGCGTTATTCGGCACGACCCGGACATGGCCGCGCATGGCCGCCAGAACTGGGCTGAGCGCTGAACAACTATCTGACAGTGAGAACTCTTACCCGGGCGACTGCTTAAAACTGAAAGGCCTGGCGGAAAAAAAAACATGTGTCGCACAATCATGCAATGGAACGAATCTATGTTTCCGCTATGCACATCTGCCACGAGATATGGCCTGCCCCCACATATCGTTTTTTACTTAACGTACGAAGTCGCGTCACACTATCCTCTAGAGCGCAGTACATTCTTTTCCCTTTTTCGAGGGCTTTCTATATGACCTGTCTTTCTACTAACGCAGCACAAATTCTGGGAAGATCTTGGCCTCATCACGGGCCGAATGGAAGACGAGCAACTACCGTTGTAACTCCTTGGTGCTGGACTTGCAATCAAAAGCGTTACGGCAGAAGACAAAACGCTCAAGTGGACACGTTTTAAATGTCCGGGATTTTCTGAAGCTGAAGGACTTGTTTTTGGGTCCGAACTTTCAGCTCATATAGGAAAACTAAACTAGAGACCTCCCTAGGCGGGCCCACTCTCTTTAAGAGTCACATACAAAGTTAGTTGGGCACGTCTATCCGAAACAGTTCGGGAGACATTCTAAACGCGGCTGTAGCGGCTATGCAAGACGGTTGATGCACTGCATAGCTGTGGTAATAGCAGTGCCCAATTCTCATTAAAAGCGTAGTCTTGCAAAATGAGATGAATGGGAGGGCTAAACAGTGACAAACGGCGAAACTTGCCTAAAGAATCCGTTAAAACGAGTTTTCTTTATGGATTCATCCAACCTTTCCTTCCCAGCTTGGAGAGGGGATGAAGCCTATCTAGCTGAATAGGTGGACAGCCACCTAAGCCTCAGATTATCGTATTGTGGTGTGTCACTATCTGTCATGCATGCGGTGTGTCACTCCGCATGCCTCATCCTTCATTTGGCCATGGTGTCATTATTAAAAATCCTCTATGCTTTACGAAGCATGCCCGGCGGCAGGTTTGCAGAGCAAACACAGTGAATTCAGAACCAATCGACACCGATTTCAGCTTCAACAGCGGCAAGCTCTCGCTTCCGTTGCAAAGTGACTCAGTGACGGCGTGGGCTTGATACCGTAGTTCTGGACAGTATCACTTCCAATCACACGGAAACACGGTCAACGGAGACACAATGTATTGGAAACACGCCGAGTCAGCCATCCGGTCGGGAGCGAGAGCGTTCTACGGCCGCCGGCCGTCCTGTCACAGGGGAGAAGTCCCGGAAACGCTCCGGCCAGACCCGCGCCGGAGCTAGACGATGTTGGCCAGGTAATCCTTAACCTCAGCCGGGCTGAGGCGGCGGAAGCCGGCGTCGTTGCAGATGCCGATCTCGATGTTGTTCTCGGTCATCTGGCCCTCGAAGCTTTCCTTGAGCGTGAGGACGGCCGTGTGTACGGCGTCGTCCAGCTCCATGGTGTCGGTGTACCTGCCGCGGGGCTGTCAGGTCAGCCGCCTAGCACGCGCTCCGTGGCCGACAGCGCGAAGCACGCCACGCTTCGAGCATCGTTCGGTGGCAATGCGCTGAGAATCACAGTCGAGATTAGATGTGACCCGTTCGATGCCGAACGTACCCAATTTCTACCAAAAAACATCGGTGCGTCTGGCTTTCACCAGTGACAGCGAAGATGACGGCCGTGGCGGTTACATTCATTCAGGAATGTAAGCGACCGACTTCGTACAGAAACAAACAAATAACCTCAAGTCGCCCTGTGCATAGGATCAAGTCTGGCTACTGAAGATATGTTTCGTCGTCCTCCGCTTCAGCCGATGCCGCGAAACATTCAACCGCCAGAGTTCGGAGATATTACATGCGTCACAAAATGAACAAACCAGAAATCCCAACATGCTGTGCACCCGACACTGCATGGCAAAAGTCACCGTCTCCAAAAAGGCTGCCGAGCCGGGGCGCGCCACTCACCGCTTCTCGAGGAACGTCCTGCCGTTGATGAAGTTCTTGCCCATGGCGGTGGCCTTCCAGGCGAAGTAGGCGCCGCTGGGGTCGCACTGGAAGAGGCGCGGCCGGCCCTGGTCCCAGCCGCAGATGAGCAGTGACACGCCGAACGGCCGCACGCCGCCCGACTGCGTGTACTCCTGCATGACGGCCGCCAGCCGCTGCACCAGCTGCCCGGTCGGGATCTCGCAGCCGTACATCAGCTGGTACTGCTGCGCCACGCGGCGGGCGCGCTTCACCAGCACGCGGTAGTCGGGGCCCATGCCTGGCGGCGGCGCGGCAGTCAGAGGCCGGCGCGCGCTGCCCTCTCTGGCGCTGGGTCTTGCGGAAGAGGACGCAGGCAGCCGCGGCGCTACTAGTCCGACGCTTAACATGAGAAGCGTTAGGCATGACTAACGCCAAACATCGACAAACGTCACAAATGACACACTGATCTCATCTGAATGACGCAATGTGCTGACGTCATGGTTTTACCTTCTCCATCCACGCGCTCAGTACTACAGGATGGCCTCCTCCACGCATGACGGGAAGCGGAGGCCCAAAGGCACACTGTCCGCGGGTGGGCATTGTTTTAACTTTCAGCTGTTTTTTTTTCAAACCGCGCATGCGTCTGCATAAAATTAATGGCCAACAATGCCCACCGTTTGGTGACAGTCTTTTAAAGCGCCGAAACCCCAACAATGCCGCCCTGCTGCAGCTACCTCGGCCAACCATTACGTAAGTTCTCTAACTAGCACACAATACCGCCCTGCTGCAGCTACCTTGACCGAGCATTACGTAAGTTCTCTGACTAGCACTTATCACAAAGTGTCGCGTGATGCGGCCTCCACTTCCAGGGAGCGGAACACAATGGTTTCCGGACTGGCGGTTATCGCGGTTTTCCCCCGCCGATTATCGAACCTTTCCGCTGCCGCTCTTTCACCGCATCACACGTTGGTACAGCTCGGGATAAGCCCTGAGAGTGACTGGCAGAGAAGAGCGACGCCACATCAGGCCGCCTAGGTGAACCTCGAGACGGCCTACGACCCACGACACTACTATTCCATCTTTAGTGCAAGTGTTCACGGTCGGGTACGCCGGCTGCACAAAATGCAGCACAGTCCAGTTTGCCAGGCGCCAGGCCCCGGGTGGCACCACTCACCGCTGTAGATCATGCCGATGTGGTTGGTCACCTTCTCCACCTTGTGTATGCTGTGCTCGTCAGCCAGGATCGACTTGAACTTGTTCTCCGTGGCGATCACTACACCATTGGTGGCTGGAGCGGACCCGAAGGACAGCGTGAGACAGAACGCACCGCCCGGCGGACACCAGGCACGGTGGCAGACCACATACAATCCATGTCAGTGCGGTAACAACAAAAACGCGACGATTTCTATCGTCCGTGAAATTGAACCGGGAATTGCTAAGAAAATAGGCGAAACGACAATGGCGGTTATCATAAAGCCATAACCACATTTGGTCATTTGATCAGCAGACAGGTTTCCATTAACCCCCCCCCCCCCCCTCCGCATGAATGTGGTGGGAGAAGGCACGGTGATGAGGCAGCCGCCTCTACGCGGAGCGAGTCGCTAGATATCTCGCTCTGTCGATGCCAGGTGGCGCCATCTAGTGAGATCCAGACGAAGCAACGGTGCCGACGGCAGCTGATCATTCAGTGTGGCCCACTCGCCTCCCGCCAGCCGCGGCTCATCTCAAATGATGTCGAATGATGGGAGTACGTGCGGTATGACACCCATCGAAGAAGCTGTTGTTAATAGCTAAACATGCATTCAGCGAGGGGAAAAACAGGCAGCAGTGGCCACCCAGTATGAAGAAAGCACAGCCCTGAGATGGCGTACGTGATGATGCACGGCCACGCGTTTCAACAGCTGAACAACGATCCGTACACCAGGCGAAGGCTCCAGAACAAATGCAATTACCACTTATACAGATATATATATATATATATATATATATATATATATATATATATATATATATATCCTCGGCCAGATTTTGACATAAACACTATCTGTTCACGGCAGCTTCATGAAGAGACCGCTGAAAGCAAAAAACCGCACGGCATAACCATGTAAAACACACAAACATGAATACCCCTTAATTTCGGCGCGCCCTTAAACCCCAACCAACAACAGAAATCACACTCATTTTCTATCACCCAATAAATTACAATGAGGCGTCACTGCACTGCAGCACTGCACTACCACTGTAGGTGTCTAACCAAGCTAACGCTAGCGACCATTCACCAGGTTGAGAGCTTCAGACATGATTTCCATGACTGAAGTGACAGTGAAAGTTAGGTGGACGAGCCAGCAACGAGCAAACAAGGACTCCAACACTCAAATAAAAGCAAACCCAAGGCAATGGGAGTTAGACAGCCTACAGCAGTATAGCGGACACAGCTAACTGACGTGCCGAGACCGCGGGACATAATTTTTATCATGAAAACATTCACAGAAACTGAGTTAAAATAACAAATAAGCAAAAGGACTTGTTTATTTCTGGAAAAGCAGCATGTCTATGTCATCTTAATAATTTGTCCACCTCACACCTGAGAGGACCCAACTCATGCTTTCCTTCTGACATTCAAGGAGTTGGCAAGTCAGAAGAAAGCATTGAACCGCGGTGGCACGCAAAGCATAATGCTGCATACACACATCCAGATGAGTGCAGGTATGATATAGTCAAAGTAAAGTTGGAATGCTCATACAAAATATCAGTGGCAGAAACTCACAGCAAAGCTGGTTTGGCAATGTTTATGTTGCTATTAAATTTGCAACTTGAGCCTTGTGATGGGTAATTTGTTACCCAGTTTTGGATTTGGATAAAAAGCTGACCTTTATGTACACACCTTGAATTTTCAAATAGTCTGCAGTTTCCACTTCTTACTGACTTTGTCAGCATCTGGCTTTTCCAGACTTTTATGTATATTCATTATTGATAAATATCCTCAAGATGACCAATTGGGTATAGCACCTTAAGTTTATATGCAATTTTATGCATGACGGACAGCTTTATTTTCAGAATGACTTTGGGATTGGTGAAGCCACCTTGTCTGATAAGGGTCACCTTGATTTCTGTCTGTCCCTTTACTCCCAATCATGCTCATTCAGCCTCACAAACTGATAATTAAACAAACACATTTGTGTGAACAAGTTGAAAACAAGGGCCATTGAGTCAAAAGGGGCAATGGTGATCCAAGGGGTCTCAGGATGAGCATTGGACTATGCCAAGTCAAAGAGTTCTGTGGCCACATTTTCCATAGGAGGTCAACCTGGCAGTTAATTTGTGATATCAAGGGGCAACTGTTCATTTACAGGTGATGGGAGGCACTTGTGTGGTTGGGTGTCAAGATTCCCATCCCTATCACTGATGCATATGTCAGAAGGAAGAGGGAAAGCATCTGGAAAGCTGAACATGAGGGATTGCAGGTGCTGCACTGGCTGCACCATATCATCAGCAGGACACCCCCACACTATGAACCACTTACCTTTGATACCTACTGATGGTGCACCTGCTGCAACAGCCGCCAATGCATACTCGATCTGCACCAGCTTTCCAGAAGGACTAAAAAGAAGGAAAATAGATGATACATTAACAGGATAGAGCTTAGTATAGCTGATTGACTTTCACATAAAACAATTCCATGAAATAGACAAAGAACAGGTGACTAGATAATGCTGAAATTATATCCATGCTGTAAATGAACAGCCACCTCAAGTCATTGGGGTTTACAATATGCGCAGTTATGAGACTATATGGCATGGCCTGCCTCTGACCCTGGCAGGAAGAGCAGCCACTGCAGGTAGTTGTATGCCATAAACCAGAGGCATAAAACCAATGCCTCTGGTTTTCAGGTGTGCAATAGTTAACACAAATGTGCCAACCACTACACTACTACCATTCTCTGAATGGTCATCTCACCCTGAACTGCTATAATATTGGATTCCTATCAGTGAAATATCTGCCCTCATTTTAAAAAAAAGTTGAACAAAATGAATTCATAACTAACAGATCTTATGTCATGTGCAGATAAGCAATCAAATAAGGCATAAAAGCTTCATAATAAATGTGTTATTGTTTCAAAGTTGATAACAACAAGATGGAAAGGAACTATTTCCATTACTGTTTTATGCTGAGCTTAGTATTTCTGCAGAAAATAAACCTGATGCTAAAGGCCACAACAACCAAGTAAAAAACAGTACATGACCAGGGAGCTAATTACACAGAATGTAGCTGTGGTATGATCACAATGCTTTTTAATTTAAATAACTGATGTGGGTATGATCATAGTGTGTCTAAAAAGTTACCAACACACTAGATTTACCGGCATTGGAAACAGACATGTACCTAGATTACAGCTGCAAAAAGTCTCCCATACAATTTCATGATTGTAGAAGCCTGGGATCTTTTGGGGCTACAGCACATATCTGCTTGCTAGATCTTTGCTGGAAAGAACTGCTACATTAGCTCCATTCCACTTCTGAACTATTGATTGGCCTTCTTCACCACTCTGAACAGCTGTTGTACTTTACCTGAGCAGAACAATGACAATATCAATCATAGGATGGCCACATCTCCATACATGGGCAGACTAGAATGTACTGGGAGGGCTTGACCTGAAACATTATTTTGGAATGGCAGACATGAATTTTATTGGAAAAATTGGGACAGCATGCAACTGTGAAAAATTTGGAAATTGAGACATAATGGCCCCATAGTGTTTACATCCATGCAGCTGAATGAAAAGAACAGGTACCTATTAATCAGATGCATCCTCATGTCCACTTTGATGCTACATGTTTGTGATCAATCCTGGCTGGATTGCTTAACAAAGTTCAGACAAAAACTCCCTTCAATGATTATTTTCAACAATTATAAGGATCATAAAATCAAATATCCACAGAAAACCACTCCCCACATTGAATTCTAAACAAATACATGGAACACACAGTTCAGCAACACAAGGCAGGTAGCCTCGCTTCTCATTGAACATGGCTCAACATAAATGATCACTGAACCCATTACACTGTGAGGTGTGAGGTTTTCAAATTAATGAATGCACTTAATCACTTGAACTCAACCGTAACCATACCTGAAAGTTGTAAGTGAAAAACTGTATCTTTCTGAAGACATGTTCGTCCCACTTGCGATGCCGATGGGTTTTGCTAGGCTTCCAGTACCCAAGGCTGATCAGGAAAATATACTGAGCGTCGCGCTAAGCAGCCTTTAGAAAAAATCAACACCAATAAAGTGGCAGTCCAGGGCACCAATACTCTGGTTACCACGAACCAGTCCGGCAATACCGTATACGACCTCACGTAGAACACCGGCCGCAGAATGCGCAAGTCACCGATGTATGTTTTGCGCCATATTCGTATAACAAATGTCGGGTTTGATTGCAACCCACTGCCAGCTTTTCCACACAGCTGTTTTCAACTTTTCTGTAGGCGATCCAAGCCTGCACCTCAATGTCTGATGGTCGATAACGACAGCGTGCAGAGTGCAGGCTCGGCCCTTTTGTAGCTGGTATTTTATTGGAAAAGATACTACAGCTTTCTCCATTTTGTAAGAATTTCCCGGTTGTATTTGTGCCATTAGCATTGCCTCCACTGGCCGCTGATAAATCACGTTGTGCATTCTGGTCAATTTTTACTCGGCCCCTTGGTCACGCTTTCGTTGCAATTAGCGATCCCCTGGTCATACGGTGTGAAGTGTGACGTCCCAACATGCAACATTTGGGCGCCTGCTTTGCATTCAAAGGTGCGAAACAGATGGGTGCGCTCCTCGTCTTAAAAACCTACGTTATCCGACTTGAAGGTTTTAGAAGAGCATCTTAGCATGAAATGAAATCACAAATGAATGCAACATAACGCTGTTCATACCCCTTCTTCTTGCCATGTTTCAGTTACGCTCTATCGCTACCCATACGTGAGGCAGTATGTAGACGGTCCCAAATACTGGACGTATTAGTCTGCGACCTGCATTGCTCAAGGGGCGATTTGCCGTAAAAAGCTTCAGGTTCCAGGCAATCCATTTCCATAGTTCATTTGGTTAGAGCGCATGCCTTCCATTATACACATTCGTAACGGGGATTCGAGCCGCTTGAGGCGTTCGCGATTTGTTCTTGACAGGCATGGCATGCGGCTGCGCTTGAGGCGAGTTGACATCGGAGGGCAGGACAAAACGTGCCGAGTATTGCGGCACGTTCAGTTTTCACCACCACATTCTGCTATTGACTTCGAATTGCGCGACCGCATGGCAAGGGTCGGGGCTAACAAAAGCACTGCTCAGCGTGTGCTCTACCCCCAGAAATTCATCCTATAACACCGTTTGGATTCAACCTTGAAAAGTCCAGTAGTTCCCCATACCAAGACCACAGGAAATCAATGGAACCAACACCGAGCCCAAATATTTCAATTTTTCTTGACTTGTTTGGGATAATACAAGGGTTGAACAAGTTACCTGCTACCATAGGCGGATCCTGGGGAAGGGGGGGGGGGGCACGGGGCCATGCCTCCAAAACCTCTGAGAATATGCTTTGCCCCCCTCCCCCCCCAGAACATTCCCAGAACTTCGCAAAAGTTTCGTCCACTTACCGTCTGTTTTAACTTTAACTGCTTTAGCTGTTTTGTTTTAACTTCTTTTTAAGATTCAAAAGCATTTCGGTGTTTTTTCGGCTTTGAATGGTGTCCCCACTAGGTACCCGCGAGAGGCACCATGCACTGGACCTCGGATCCCACACCAGCCAGCTGGCGACGAACGGCTGCCCCCCCCCCCCTAAAAAAACAAACTTCAGGCTGGATCCGTCCCTGCCTGCTACATGCAGTGTCCATAATCGAAGCCAAGCTCTCTATCATGGGTAAGTGGGCCCATGGTCAAGACTCCATGGAAGTCAATGAGGCACAGATAAAACTGCTTCGAAGAAGCCGTGCGTTAGAAGTAGTAGTATAGCAATGCAAAAATAACCTTCGGTTGAGCAGTTAAAAAAATGATGAAACCTACCGACACTACGTACCAAGAAACAGTTTTCCCCTCAGCTGGCCTATTATCTGTTCTGTCAAAATTGAAGGGGGACTGGAGCCCCGCCCCCAATTAAACAGGTAACTACACTCCTGGATTCGAGGTCTTAAAGAGACACACACATCCTGAGCGCTAATCTGGACCAAACTGATGGTCGACGGCATATTCTCGATTTCCCAGCGTAGTCTATCTGGAAGCGTGCCTTCGGCGTGCTTAAAACGCATGCACCTATCCCAAGCGTACTTTTCCCGGACAACCCTCCCCCAGCATCAAACACGATTAAGCATTCCACCCTTCAATCCCAAACGGTGTTAATTCAACATATTTGAAAAAGTTACCGACACGACCATACTAGTTCCTTCTGTCATCGCAAGCGCTAGTGGTAAGCCGTGCCTCTGCAGTCAGTAAGCAATTCAATACGCATATCCGCCAGATTGCCAACGAGGGCATATCAGCAACATGCCGCAACACCTACATGCGGCAACCTAACTCACGGAAAACGCACCTCTGCGAAACAAAGAAGAGCTCAGACGTAAGACATCCCGCGTAATGTCAGGGACCCGCACCCGCCGTCATGTAAAAAGGCGGAATGTACATTGATGTGTGTTTTGACGGCGTACTGATGACAAACTATTGGTTTAAAGAAAAGTTAAATTAGCGGAAACGGTCTTAAGCCGAATGCCCTGCGACCTATGCCAGTGAAAATTGCATGCAACGAAAATAGCCCCATCGTTAGTAGACTTAGTTCTTCTTCTAGTTGTAAACCTAGCAAACGGTAATCATACGAATGCTAGTTTACGGATGACCAACTGGGCGGCTGCATTTCGTGGAAATACGCAGTCTACCATTGCAAACTGCGTGCGGAGACACGGAGACCCCCCCCCCCCCCCCCCCGACCGCGAGGGGTTGGCCGTACGTTAAGTCGCGCGTTTATGTTGGTCGATCGTAATTAAGGTTATAAGAGCACAGATAGGCCATAGTAGCCAATTGGCCGGTGCAGCAGGGGCAACTTACGGCACATCCGCGATGTTATTCAAGAACGACCCCTGACAATTTCCAACAAATGCAAAGCTGGAGGGAATGGTGGGAGCTTTCTCGTTATCTGGCAAATAACTGACACAGCGACGTGGCATAAAACAATCGATAGCGGTGGCCTGAGAAACACATGGGCATCTCCACTTCGTCCCACCCAGTTCAACAAATGATGTCTCAGGTGGGGCCATAATTTGAACTTGCTCGTGAGCCAGTTCATCTTCAAGTAAAAACCACAATATTACAATTATAAGAGCATTTCGGCGAGCATTTCCACTCCTTTTTTAAATCGGCTTCAGGTTCAAGAACACTTCGGATGGAGGAGCAATTCAGCACACTAGCAGCCGACACTCCGATACCACTCAGCTGGCGGTCATTTCGATCAATTTGCATACGTCCCATGTCTCCGCAAATTAAAATTCAATAAAAAGGCTATTCCACCCATTGCCATTTCGTCAGCTTGGCGCACCGGCAAGAGGCGCTTGGTGCTGATACCATCCGTCAGACATTTCGACTGATGGATTTTCTATTATTTTCTTTTTAGATATTGGGGAAATACCAGCTACAATTACCCTGTACATCGACGCCCACATCGCTGCTCTGCGTCAGGCTCGGTGCAGGGCTGACACCGCGCCAGGCACCTCCATTGTTTGCGGTGGTCTCTTTCCGAGCCGACCGGCCACGATCGACACGGAAGCTGAGACACGGCTCGCATTTAAAATCACAGACGGACCATGCTACTCGCGGTGGCCTTTTTCGGAACTGTCACCTCTGATGAACTGGGCGGACGCTCCCCCCGCCCCCCCCCCCGATTCCCCCTGGGAGCCATATCAAAGGTGAAATGCAAAACGGGACCAGAGCAGTAACATCACACAACAGAGCAAAAGCACGAGGCCGGTTATGCAACTTTTGCGGACTAACAGAAATGACTACGCATCTGTTCTGCACGTGCTCATTCGCACCAGTGACCTGTTCTTTATGTCACATCTGAGATGCGTCGAATAAAGACCCACATACCTACTGACAACGCCCACGTAACAAGCGTCATCATCAGGCCGTCTCACCCACTTCGTCGCTGTACGCCACACAATGCACAAGAAAACAGCAACTCTCTCCGCGGTGTATTGGATAGATCGGGTTCACGAGGTCTCCATGGCCGTCTCCTCAGTGTATTTGCCCTTGTCCTTGCCAAGCGCCGCCAGCCGACCGGCCGCGCGCCGCTCCAGGATCTTCTTGCGGTCCTTGTTCATCTTCAGCTTGACCACCACCACCTTAGAGGGGTCGATGCCGACGTAGACGGTGGCGCCGTTTGCCTTGTCGCGCTGAATCCGCTCGATGTGGATCACCCACTTTTTCCGGTAGACCTGGATTACCTTGCCCACCTGCTGACCCTTGTAGTGCCCGCGGACTACCTGTAAAACACATGGGTCATCGTGTCAGAACAGAACAGGTCATCTTAGAGACTTTCGGCCATGATTACATGCAGCGAATACTGGTCCCAAGGCAATATTCACAATGCGGTGAATGTCACGCAGCTGCAAATCTCATGTCACTTTCGACAATAACACTCGCCCCGCTAGGGGCGGGGGGTTCGACGCGATCGCGCCTCCCCCTCCTCTCCCCCCCCCCCCCAAGGTTTTCTGAAGATACCACACCGGCACGCCATGCAATCACTGCCAAATATTCGGTACCCTGTGGGGCATTTATTGCGCTAAAGGCTACCATTTTGCAACCGAAACGTGTCGCTTGCATTCCTGGTTTCCGAACAGCGCCGTTCTTTTACAAGCGCTGGACGATGATCCACACCAGGCGCGGACTGAACGGCAACAGATGATTCCGCCGATCGTGTGCCGCAGGGGTACACTGCCTTAACGGATTCCTACACAGCACACACAAACACATGACTTATTCGTCAACAGACGGAGGGGGCGGGGCTCAACCTCCCCTTTTTATTCCGCCTTGGGAAAAAACGAGTCAAATGGTTTAAGTGTATCTTTAGTGTTTTACCGTTGTGTAGCGGACCAAATCTTGCGAGTTTCACAGAAGGAATATGACGGGTGGCAAGACACACTTACTATGAAACCCGGAGGGCGACAGCGCAGGTTTGTCGTAAAACAATTATAACCCAGACATTACATATAAAACGTATTCCATACCAGCTATTGACAACCGTTAGTGCATCCTACTACCAAATGGCATACTCATCGCCCAAAGAAAGAGGATCTATGGCAAGTTTCCGGCGTCGCACTTCAAGCCTAGACCTGAAATTCACGAACTCAATGCCTTGAGCATTGGCTTCTTAGGAAGGTGGTGGTTTTGGACATGAAACATTTAGCGTACATGACAATAACTCCGCTACAACTCCGCTACATGACCTGACAAACGATGCTTTTGTGATAGCGCCGGCAAAGGAAGCGAGCAACCGAGTCAGCGCGTGCCACTCGGTCGGCCCGGGGCAGATCTAATGGCGTATATCTATATTCCGTAAATAAGGATTTATTAGCCCCGAACCCATTTTGATGTACACAAAACTACATAAGCTGTTGAGTGCACTAGCAAGGAGAATTATTCACATAGATAAGACAGTAGCATTAGCCCTATTCCTCGGAAAAACACGAGAATGGAGATACGGTTAGGTGGATATTTCGGCAACATGCCTTCCTCCAAACAATAGCATAAGTCTAATGTATGTGGGCTGTCTTGAAATAAACCTTTAATGAATAGGCACAAAGTTTAATGCCAGTTGTGTTTTGTCATTGCATGAGCTGTTCTTTGCTGCATGGGTTGCACTTTGTGATTTGGTGATTTTGGGCATGTCAGCATCAGGTGCCATGTGTCAGCATCATGTGCCTAACAATAGCAGAAGTAAAAAACAATACTTCTGCTGCTGTTTTGATGAAGGCATGTTGCCGAAATATCAACCTAACTATATGTCCATTCTTGTTTTTTTCTGACGAATAAGGCTAATACTACTGTCTTACCTATGTACCCAAAACTACACTATATCCACTTGTCTGTGTTGATAGTCCGCCATAAGGCCAACATGGGCCTGACCCCCTCACATTCATTGCTTGCCAGTTGATAAAGGTTTAACTACAAAATAAAGCAAACAGATTCCACTTTGTGTTGTGCTCATGTCTGACATGATAGTAAAGACCGGTTTTGTGGAACAATAACCATGTAACGCTTTGACTGAACCACACCTGTGCAGAAGCATCACAGCATATGATGTTCCTCCACAGATGTGGTTCACTTCGCGCACCACAGGCAGATGAGCACAGCTCTGCTTTCCAGCAATGTGCTGTGTGGAGAGCCCCTGAAGCCCATCAGTATGGGTCTGGGATGTGACGAGAAGTTGATTGGCCACACAGCAGCCATGGCGAGGGAAAGTCTAAAAAGCTGCCTAAATACATATTGAGTGCATGTGCATGCAACTAGCAGTGTTCTCCTTAACAACCAATGACATTAAAAAGTTCAATGATGGCAGGTACCAGAGGAACAGAACATGAAGGACAGAGCAATGCTTCAAACAAACAGAACAATGGTCAAACCCTGCCCTACACAGTGACCTAAATACAGCATTCAGAACCACTCAACAGCCAGAATCTGTGCAGCAAAGACCTGTCTTGACAATTAATCTTCCATGCAATGGTACAAAGTTGGATGCCAGTTGTGTTTTGTCAGTGCATGAGTTGTTCTTTGCTGCATGGGCTGTACTTTGTGGTGATATGGTGATTTAGGGCATGTTAGCATCAGGGCTATTTTGTGCCTGCTGGTATGAATCACACCTTGTTGCATGTATGGACTGTATGCCCAGCAAAGTAGATAGATCAGCTACTGTCTGTTGCATCTTCATTTCTCATAATTCTGTTTTGCATCACCTGAAGACCTTGACCTAAGTACCTCAAAATGTTCTGCTGCACAGCATTCTGACCTACTGAATATAACAACAGAAAATCAAGAATCTGGTAATGAGAAACAAAAATACAATGGTGTATTCTTGTACATAGCATAAAACACCTTATTACGAATTGGGTGCAACAGGTAGAAGGTACTTCAAGCTTCCAGGTCATAATGTGGGGCCAATACCACTTATATATGCCTGTAGAACCTGCTTGAGTACCATACTGTTTGCTGGCAAGAAGCATCAGTCACATCATTTGGGGAAAACATTGTTTATACCCTTGGGATGTCTGGCTGTGGCACCACTAGTTACAATATACCAAAACAACAAAAGACATCTTGTACTTCTCCCCCTACTCCTGGTTGTGACAGACTGTATCATACAGCTGTTGTGAAGATAGAAGGCATTGCTCATCTGACAGGCACAACAAATGTGTACCTCATCAGGGACTTAAATGTCAGACCCTAAGAATCCATGTCCAATTGTTATACCTGTGTGTGTAATACTACTTGTAAGTGAGCTAACAATGCTTCAACACTTATGTGCCTTACTGTGGGCACAGAATCTGTGCCCACAATATGGTATCATCAGTGCCACAGATGATACCATAATCCACATTAATGCACCCAGACACCTTTCAAACACATAAATGGGTCTAACCATATGCATCAGAGAGCATCCTCATCTTAATAGTTGGTGAGAAGAGAAAAATGACCTGGCTGTTAATCCACCTTGGCCTGACAACCTTTATTACTAGCATTGATCACATGGTATTGATCTTGGGCTCTGCTACATGGCCAAAGGTTTATAAAAAACAAATGGTTTTGGTGAACTGGATACCAGTTATGATGGGCTCCCATACATCCCAGGGTAGCTTTCACAGTTCAGCCTCCCTGAGGTCAGGACAATATATGTTAGATTTAGAGCATGTTTCATAAAATCTGGCAGTGGCTGCATCCTGTGCCACACCCATCAGGCAGTGCTTAGAATTATAACTCAATGGGCCTGAGGTAGGGCATTCCCTCTGAACATGCAACTGGTTTCATACTGGTATTTTCTCTCTCTAACAATATAAAATCCTCACTTCTGGTGTCCCAAAAGTGGGTGGGTCCATGGATTGCTCTCAAGAGGGTAGGAACAACTGCACACAATGACACAGACTTTGGTTTATAAGATTGCCTGCTATCATCATCCATACAACTTAGTTTCATAGTACTAGCATCCCATGTCAACATACACATTGATAGACCACATAAGCAGCCTTTTATCTAAGCCATGGAAACCGCTCCAAGTCAGGCTGTTGACAGCAGTGAGGACTTTCATAGTGACTTATCCCTTTCCTCCCTAAACCGATTAGAAATCTATACCCTTGTTTCATGCACTATGTGAAAAAGTGCAATGTGAACACAACATAGTGTAATGTAAGAACCCAATCATTCCCTCATATCTGAGAATATCTGTTCTAGGAGAAACAGCAGTGAGTAAAAATATCTGAAAATGAAGTAACATAGTAGTATTCATATAAAGATAATACAAAATGAGCTTTTTCTGGCACAAATGACCTTCTAAATAGCCAGGAAAAAATATTTCCTGTCATAAATATCATGCTGCTGTAGTAAGTTAAAGCAGCACACAATTGTGCAGCTGAGAAGCAATTGCCCAAACCAGTCAGCAATGCAATACCAAAGGAATAAATTTGGAGCACTGCTGGTAATAAAACTTGTTCTTCATAGTGTCTAATACAAGAGTCAAGCATCATCACTATGATGTCATTTCAGGACTTTAATTGCTAGCTTTCAGGGAAATCTAATCAGCAAAGGAAGTACCCAGAAGCCACAGTGTGGTTATTTCCCATAGCAGGCACAAAGATGAACTATTAATCTTCACATTCATATTACAATAATTTGCCCATGAATCCACAGGCTGGCCAAGGTTTGACAAATTTCAAAATAATTTGCAGTGGAGTACATATTTCCACCACATATTCATGTTTTGAAAAGATACTCCTGCCACAAATGCCTGACAACATGCACATCCTGTCAATCTCACCTGAACCTCATCATCCTTTCGGACAGGCATAGACTTCACGTTGTATTTCTGCACAAGCTCCTTGCTCAGAGGCGCAGACATCAATCTCCTCCTCAGATGAGAAGGGGCATTGAAGTGCCTCTTCCTGTTCTTGTTCCGATCTGATGTAACAAACTTGTTGAGCTTCATTTTGCTCTGAAAACAATGCAAAACATTGGAACTCAACTGAATTGATTGCTACACTACATCACAAGGTTTGTCTACTAGTGAGGTTACTAAGCATGCATTACATCTTATAATGGTTTACTACATACTACATACTGGTAATAATAATACTAATAATAATAATACTACATACTGGTTTACTACATACTGGTAATACTACATAACCACTTGCAAATGAACTGTACAATTTACTTGAGGCTTTGCCATGGTTTAATTTTGTTCACTGCTGATTGCCATCACATTCACTACCATTTACAGATGAATTCAATCATGAATGGTCAACACGTTCAATGTACATGCCACACACAACTGCCTAAATCTGTTGGGTGCCGCAGGAGCAACCTGACTAAAAACACAAGTGACTGAGCCACTTTTATCGAAAACGGCTCGAACTTTCACGCACAGAGCCTGAATTCTCAGCATGTGTAAGAACCGATGCAACACAACCTTCGAGATGTCACTACCACGCCGTAATTGAAACATTCCAAACAAGAATGAAGAATAGCAACAACCAGGGCATGGATAAACACAACAGAACAAAAGCAGATCAAAAATCAACAGACAAACGTAATGAACCAAGACTTATTATAAAACAGGGACCGTATCGCGCTATTCAATGTCAATAACGCTAACGCCGGATAACAACAACCCACTTACCGGATGCTGTTACGAAAAGGCTGCGTTGCCAGTTTCTTACAAAATCTTCGATTTTTCATCGGGTAAGTCATAATAAGACGTTTCATGCTATATTTTTTCACGTGTCATTGCAAAAATAGAATTAATGGCGTCAGTGCTGAGTTTGTGTAAGCCTTACTTTATATTTGAGTCGCCCCTTCGGGATAGCTGAAAGGTCGTCCAAATTCTTCTCATTTTCCTCTATTCAAGGGCGTTCGCACTAGTTTTTCCACATTAAAAAGGCATCAGCAGTAAGAAAACTTTATCTTTGCCTCACTTTTACCCTACAAATACCGGATAAGGCTTGCTCGAGCCCAAAGCCAGCTGCAGCTCAAGAGCACGCCGCAGATCGCGTTCATGAGCTTTTGGCCATTCGCATTCAATGCACCAAATCGATGAGCAACGATGTTCCTCGTCTTATTACAGGCTTTAGTCATACGACTGTCGACTGTGAAAAGTCATCTCGTTAACGCAGGACCTGGAGATGCACTCCAGTGAGTCCGATCGTCTCCACAGCCGGTTTCAACACCCGGAGTACCGCATGAATGATGCCGGCACCGAGCCGAGAGCTACGTATCCGCCTTGACTGCGTACTTTTTGAAGGCATGGATGTACAAAACCTACTGGACGAGTACACAGGTCCTCCGGCTGATGGAGCGTATTGCGACAGTTTAGTGACACCTTCCAGTCCCTCCATTGAACATTGGCCAGTTGATGCTGACATGCTAAGTCGGGTGACTGAGTTGCTGTTACCCGAAGATGCTCTCGGCCCTCGGTGACCGAGGGCCGGTCTGCACTGTGTTGCAGGCTCCGAGTACTCCGCAGAAGCTGGAACCCCTGGCGCAACAGGCGAGCGATCCCCGACGTCAGTTCAGATGGTTGGTTCGTTGCTGGGCATGCGTCTTTATGCGCCGAACGTCGGGTGGGCTTGCTCGCGTCCCGGTACGGAATGCAGGTCTCGGGATGATAAAAAGCACTACAGTGAAGAACGTACGGGGCAGACTGCCTGCCTCACAGGGACACGGATGGCGCGTCGCTTTTCCACGCGCTATGGTTGTAAAATGCTCAGCGCATGCACCAGAGACGTAACGCAAGCCCACTTTCCCCCCATGTGAACTCACCTGGCCGCCTTATTTATCTTGGAAGCTAACTGGTACATATTAAGGTGCTGAAGGCTTAATGCTCGAACGCTGATGTATGCAATTTTGAAAAGAGCTACCAAAGAGTACCTCCAATTCGTCGGTTAGTATAATGAAGCTTGCAGAGCTGTGGCGTGTGTCCATGAGTTGAAATTTTAAAATATCTCGACCTACTGAGCCGGCACACGATGAGGATAAGTGGAAACTGGGGGAAAAACGTGTTCTCGTGGTCCGAACCAGCATAAGAGACCCTCTGGCACTCCGAGTCCCGTCGCTGTACCTATTCAGCAAATGTTCCATTAGCCGACTGACTGACGATGTTACCTTGTGGACACATGATCCAGCCAGGCACTGTGGACCCCTGGCCGACATCCTCATTGTTTCAGAGACCCCGACCAATATAAGTCGCCGGCCCTGTCTTCCTTGCGCTTGGGAAAGGCACTCTCATGTTTCAGAACGACACGGGGCCGGCTATTTGATGTTGCTGGTCTCTGGCCGAAAAAGAGGCCAACACTGTCCTACGAGTCCGTCCCCCAGTCGATACAAGCGGCCCGCTGACTGATATATGAAGTCAAAGGCCTACGGGCAGGGGCGTCCTCGTTGTGACCTACGACCAGTCCTTCAGGCCCGTCCGCTCCTGCAGGCTTTCAATCGAGCCCTCGATCTTTCGTCTTGAAGGGCCTTTCGGCCCCCTTCGGACCTCGCCCGTTTCGATGGGCCCCTGGGCCTCTCCTCGTGGGCCTCCCCTCTTCACTGAACACTGTCTTTGGTCGACCCGGAACCCTTTGCCAACACAGGACCCCCTGTTAGGCACTGTGGGCCCCTGACAGATACAGGGGCCCCGACCAATTCAAATCGCTGGTTCCAGCTTTGCCGCTGCTTGGGAAGTGAACCGTCAGATTTATACCGGCACGGAGCCGACTGTGGGTACTGGGGTGATGCCTGACCGATATACAGGCCGTTATCGACTCAACAGGCCCCCAATCGGCGCAAAGGACCTCCTGACTTTCATCCGAGGTCAGGCCCCACAGGTCGGGTCCCTAAAGAAGACTCCGTCCAGTCCTTCACGCCATTAAGTCCTCCAAGAGTAGGACCCTAGGTGACACACTATCGTTCCCGTTGAAGGGCTGAAGGGCCATTCGTCACATAGTGCGATGCCTGGTCTACGCCTGGTCAATCCGGAAGCCCTTGGAAGGATAAATCATATCACATTGGACCCCTGCATGATGACGGAGGCCTTCTGATCCGCGCATTTGGCCCCGGATTGACACAGGAACCGTCATTTACGCAACAAGATCCCTGATTGCCGCAGGTGGCACAATAATTGGCACATACAATCCAGTTCGGCTTAACGAGCTCATACTGGAATTGGGCTGTAGGACCTGCACTGGTTCGGTACTGTTGAGGGCCTGTTGAGGTTCGGTGCGGGGGGGGGGCGACCTTTCCATTGCCACAGTGCAAGGCACTGATCGTAAGTTCTCATGTTTCCATTCATTGTAAGGGGGTCGCGACCAACCCAAGAGGCTTACTGGCATTCGGGGTCCCGTCGTGGCTGCCTGTTCAGGCAATGTTCTCCAGGCCGATTCGAGGCTCTTAATTGACGCTTAATTATAGTATGATAAAATTATGATATAATAATAATCGACTTAATTTTTTCCTTAAGGCACTTTGGGCCCCTAACCGACAAGGAAGCCTCGCAATATTACTGCAGGGTTCCGGCCCGTATCAATTGCTGGTCGACTTTGTCTGTAGTTGGGAAATGGGATCCCCAGAGTTCAGACCAACACCGAGCCGACTGCTCAGCGTTGGTGATCTTTGGCCAAAACAGAGAAACGCCCTGTCTCAAGGTTCCCAAATCGGTACAAGAGGCCCTCTAACTGACATTTAAGAATCACGACACTACGGGCAGGGACCGTTAATGTGACCTATAATCAGGACTTCGAGCCATTCAGACTTCCAATCGAGCCCTTGATTTTGGGTGTAGACTACCAAGAGACCCTTCGGCCTCCTCTACAAGCCGTCTAAAGTACGGCGCCTGGTCGACTAGGGGCCACTTGCCGGCACTGGCCTCACTTGGCATGGATCTTTTACCAGATAATGTGTCGACATATCATACGTCAGGTACTACAAATGTGGGTGACTTTTTGGGTGTGGTAGTTATTCCCGAATCTCGAAGAAGAGGTTGCTTTAACCTCCGCGCAGGCTGGTACTATGCAGTGCGGCAGCCCACCAAAAGCGCGGTTGTCAGGCTTGGCGCTGCCACCAGGCGACGGCGACCAACACTACCAGTGCGGAGTGCGTCGCCAGGTGGCCGGCGGAGGAGGCCGGCTGCCAGCCGGCCGGCAGGAGGCGGAGGGGCGGGGGAGCCTACTTCAATGCGCTTAATCAAACAACCGATAATCCGCAGAAAAACCACGCGCGATGTTTTTTCTGAAATAATCTCCCAAACATTTTTGGTGCGCTTAAAAGGAGATCTGAGCCGCACGTGATCAGGCATTCGTAGAGATAGACGTTCGTTTCCGTCTGGCGAATAAGCCGCAGCCATCCATTGAGTGTTGTACCCTGATTCAAACCACTAATGTTCGGTGGCACCAAGACACACCATGCGGCACTAATCTGCACGTTGTTACCTGGGGCAGCCTCGAATTTTCACACAGTTCGCCTGCGTCTTTTTTTCGGGCCGTGAAGCGTTCAGAAGCGCTACACAACGGTAGAAAAAGACGCGTCTCGAGAATGTTTTGTTTTAATGATCCTGAGAAACAGCAGACGTGAGCACCTCTCTCGTGGTCTGAGTGGCCCGACGTTTTCGGCACTAGTCGATCACACTGGTGGCCACTGTAATCTGCGCCTAGCTGCGTGTGCATCAGTTCAGCAGCTGACCAGCGCTCTCCAGCTGCTGCCGCAGGCACTGGAAGCCCCTGACGCCGACCTTAACCCCGGCTACCCTGCAGGCCGCCCGCACGGCCGACAGCACATCATCACCCCGCCGCAGCCGCCAGATGGCAGCAGCAATGAACGTGTCGCCGGCGCCGAGCGTGTCGACGACAGATGGTGGGCTGTGCGCATCGCAACTGACCACCGAGCCGTCCGGCAGACAGGCGGCCGCGCCCACCTCACCCCACGGACAGATGAGCACCGACCTGGCGACGACACGAGGAAGGTCAGGCACGCAGCCCGGCCCAGCCGCCGACCACAGGTCAAGGGTGATCGCGCCAGCCGGTGGACACGGATCGACACACGCGCGGTCAGTCATTGGCCGAAACGGCCGCGCTGTTGGCGTGATTAGGCGCGGTGGGCGTTCCACCCAGCTCGCAACTGCTCAGGAGTTATCAGGTGTTCTCCTGTTTTCAAATAATTTACATCCAAATAGCGGATATTAGGGTTAGGGGTTTGTGTCATGCGATGACACAAACTCTACCCCCGACCCACCACAGGGCTTACCCCGGGGGTGTCCTCTTCTTCAGGTCCCTTACAGTGGTCTCCATGTCCGAGAACCCGTTAGCCTTGGCATAATCTTTTGATACAAAGATCACGTCTCCCAGGGAGAGCAGCACCTCCAGCTCCTTTCTGCCGGGCTTTTCCAGTTCCACTGAGATTGTCAGCTTGTGCTTCATCATGTCTCGCTCCGCCCGAATATATTCAATCATCAGCTTCACGTTGTTAATGTTTCGGCCCTGCAAACATAAATTATAAAAGTTGACGGAGGAGTTCTTGGCCTGGTCGCACGATCTACGTCATTGTCCGACGGCATGTCCATCATAATTTTTGACATTTGAACACGGTATTCCAGATTTAACGCTTTGACAAACAGAAAGCGGCGGAAAGAGGAGGAAGCCAGAGGCCTAGGATAGTTCGTGACGTCCATTACTGGGGGGGGGGGGGGGGGGGGAGGGGGGAGGTACAAGGAACAAGAAAAAGGGTGGCTCATAACTTTACCCAACAATTTGTTCTCGGAACAGGTTCCTTCGATGGCCTTACAAACCAGCAGCTGTGCAAAATCTCGTGGATTGTTACACCATTAACAGAATTAGCCCCCACCATCAACGATTGAGCCAGGGGCGTTCAGCATTTTACCCGTTATTGGAGCAGATCGCCGAAATGATCAGCTGACGCACTTGGCTTAGCAGTGGGGCCTATGAAAGATCTAGTCAAATAGTTGCCAGACACCCGAGAGGACAATGCTTGCATGAGGAGCAGGAATACTGGATAGACACGGATGTGTTATCGTTTTACGAGCAGGAAGTCAGCACCCTTGATCGCCTGCCGCACACACCGCAACCCACAATACGTTGTATGGTGCTGCGCGTACTTTGAAACGGGCCCCGCAGACGTACCTCGAAGTGGATCCAGTCATACTCGGCTAACGGCAGTGAGCGCACGAGCTCGGCCGGCACCTCGGGCAGGTCTCGGTTGCTGTGGATGATGGTGCGCGTGCCCGTCTCCTGGCTCACGATGACACAGGAGGTGGGCGTCTGCGCCTCGAATCGCGGACAGTGCGAAATCGCGACGCTGTCCGCTCCAAAGCCGTCCTCGATGAACCTGCGAGCAGTTCGCGTGTGCAGATCTCGGTACGCGACAGCTGCACCGTGCGCCGCACGTGATTTCAGCCGCGCTCCTGGCCGCCACTAGGAAACAAATGGCTCCGGATCCATTCCAAGATAGTACCTTTTACGTGCAGATTGCAGCTGCTGGGAGAGCCCAGCGGTTTGGCTGCTCACGCACGCCTGAGGTGCACGCACACGTTCTTACCAATGTACAATTGAATGCAGAAGACACAAGGCTAGACACTTTACACTGCACGGAGGACGTGGGTAGATTCACTAAAGCAATAGACCCAACAGACCCCAAGCGCGTGGGAGGGAATCCGATCCAGCACCGGATCTGCGACTGCATGCAGGTGACGTCACGTACCGGCACAAGCTACCTTTGGGGATGGAGCCGAGGAACTCTGCATCGGCGCCCAGCAGCGAGAGCACAGTGGCCGTGTTGGAGGCGTTGCCACCCCTCTGCCACTGCTGGTCCAGGCATCTGCCGTCAGCAACGTGTCAGGTTTTTTTTGTTGAAAAGTTGACGCTCACTTTGCCACCAGATGAGCACTGGACATTGCGATGGTCTCAAAGGGAAGACCAATACCTCTAAGCCCCGAAGATATCGTCATGAAAGTAAACAATCCAAAGACTGCCAGAAACGTGTCACCTGGCAGACATAAACATCCCAAACACTTCCAAAAAATTAGTCCAATGCTGACAGCAATACACAATTAAATAGCACGTGGAAGAGCGTCCAGAGTACACGAGGAACACTGCTTTATATTCATTGAAATGCATATGTTTTGCCGATGAGTAGAGACCGAGCGAAAAAAAAAACTGATCGCGATAGGCACGCATATACTGGAAAGTCCATTTTTGTACATACATCGATACATTACTAACAATTTACCTAAACGCACAATGGGATATCATACACAGATTTCACATTTCATTGTGAAAAAGGGCGGTGCGGCTGAACGCCTTCTTCTCCACGCTAAGTGGCATGTTAACAAAAAGCTGATGCAAACTGCGGCTCACACCTGTGACTGCTGTGGATAAGCGCATTTTAGCTTGAAAACATTTATATACATGCATATATATACATGCATGTATATATATATATATATATATATATATATATATATATGTATGTGTATATATATATATATATATATATATATATATATATATATAAATATATATGTATATGTGTATATATAAAGCAGATAACCATAATACCAATGGATGAAATGAAAAAAATCGCATATTTTTCGCTTTTGACTCACCGATGATATTGTTCACTAAACTCACCGATAATTCGGCTCCGACTCACGAGAAGCATCGAAATAACCGACATTCCACTCCAACTCAACGCAGATTTCGCTGCCTCCAGTCAATTCCGACTATGCCCGAGGTCAAGCACAAGCCTGCACCCGAGAGCGCGGTGGCGGCCGGCGCGGGCCCCGCAACAGCCCTGGACTGACCGGTTGCCGCCGCCGCCGAGCGCCTCCTGGGCCGAACTGCTGCCCACGTCCGTGTCCTCCTCAGGGAAGCGGTGCAGGTAGTTGATGATGTCGATGCAGACGTGGCCCACCACCAGGACGCGTCCCGTCATGTTGCGCTCGCGCTGTGGAGATGGGGCGGGGCGGGGCGCACGAGAGCTCAGGCCGTGCGTCTTGCTCGCCGCCACATGACAGTGCCGCTCGGGCGTCCCGCCGCATCGGTGTCCCGCCGCTGTGTGACATCGCGCTTTGGAGAAGGCGTGACCAATATGAGTTGAACTCAACTGAGCCTTACTGAGCCGCACACAATGTACACCGTGGTGTCAATTTTCCTCATGATTTGTATATTCCTTAATCAAACGAGTCAATAGGGGATAATTTGGCTTGTTCCGGCTTTATTTGGCTGGCGACGTTTCCGAAAAATGCACTGCAGACCTCAGCGTAGGTCGTTGTATGAGTTCGCTTTACTTACTCTTCATGCTGCTATGCACGCACACGCAAGCAAATACCTTGTTTGCAACAATTAATTCAGTACACAATGGAGACGTATTTTGCTGAGTGCTGGTTATCATCCAAACTCGCCCTCATTTCGTCCAATCGTTCAGCCCATGTAAATCCCCGATAGCTTGAAGTCATACGTGCGCACATACGCGCGGTTCGTTTACCATGGGTCGAGCATACCGTCAGTTTGATCAGGAGCCTGTTATGCCTACACATCCTCCATCGTCAGTTGCCTACGTGAGTAGCAGCCCATGTTTAGGGTACCATAAAAGCCAACAGATCATGCTGTCGTGAGCTTGGCGAAATCGCTCCCTCGCATTGCCTTGTATGCGTGGACGGTCTCGACTCCAGGCGTCAGCTGTCTTTCAGTCATCGTGTGGATTTGAAAAACGAATCATTCGACATTTCCCCGCCACTCCATGAAATCTGACAGCCGTACGAACAAGTTCGTAGAAATGAGCATAGGATCCAGTTCCCCGGATTTAACAGCCTTTGACAGAACTTGACGTTTTTCACATATCGTGCAACTTTAAAGCCTTTAAACCGTCAAGCATCGTGCAAATTTGAGGCCAGGAAACCGTCAAGAAAAAACCCCAAGTTCTGTCGAAGTTAGCTAAATCTGGGGAACTGGATGTTATCTTAATTTATACGAGTTTCCGCAAGCTATTATCAGACTTCATGGAGTGATCGAGAAATGTTAAATGATTCTTTTTTTAAATCAACATGAATTATTGAAGAGAACAGTTGGCACTTGTGGTCAAAACTGTTAACTCATCCAAGGGCAACGCGAGGAAGCGATTTAGGCAAGCTCACGGCAACATTATCTGTTGGGTTTTACGGTTCCCTAGATGTGTGCTGCTGCTCACGTAAACAATTGACGATGAAGGGCGTGTAGATACAGAAGGCTCCTAATTAACTAACAGTTATTTTGGACTATGGTAGACGAATCGTTCGTAAATGCGCGTTCAAGTTCGGATTTTTAAGCATCAGAATTTTCGTGCATGCATCATTTTAAATTTTCCGGGATTTAAATGGATGAAACGATTGGAAGAAATGAGTGGCGAGTTTTGATAATAAGCGGCGCTCAACAGGAAGCACCATGGATGCTGCGATAAAGGATACATGATGGGCCAATATCGTGAGGGACACCAACTATCGTACTTTTGCGAGGCCTCCAGCTTGCTCTTGATCGGATTTTGTTGTTTCCGCGCAGTGTACCGAGTCCTGCCACACCTTAAGCCAGGATCTCACCGCATCCACCCATCGAAGAAAACGGTCCGACATGTCCCAATGTAGAATTACACACGAGGCAGCAGAAGCAGACTCCCACTTAGTGTGTGCAACGTGCAACAGTCAAATCCAAATCATCCCGTGGCAGGCGATCAGTCGGTTCCCGAAGAACACGTCAGTGTACTAACGCGCCTGGAACTAAAGCTAGTTATAGATAGAGGCCCATTAAACGAGGAATAAAAAACTCTTTCTCGCCGCTTTCTCCAGGAACGCACACGCGGATTATACTACCAGCCATATAACAAAAGTACTTGTGTTGAACACCTCCAGGCGTCATGGATGGTGCTGTGCCCTCACACACGTACCACACCGACGCGCGAGCGGTCCACAAGGTCTGGTGAGTCAGGCCTTGTGGACCGCTCGCTTACGAATTCGGAGCGATTTTTCGGGCGGATTTTGTTTGTTTGAACACCAGTCATAATATGTCAAAATCTCCTGGCTATTAGCCGCTATCCTGATTCTCCATGTTTCATAACGCGGACTGCTGAGGGAGGGGGGGGGGGGGGTCGATGCGACCCATACCGTTTCCAAACTAAGTAGCATAGAGCTTAGCGAGAAACTTGAGTTTCACAGATCACAGATCGCCGTACAATGTTCCTAAAAGACTGTCGATGCTCTGGAACCAAAAATGCTGGGGGAAACGCGTTTTAATTTTGTCAAAACACGCGCACTGGATGTTCCAGAGGCTAGTGAAAATTTGGGCGCAACTGCACGACATGCCGAAGAGCTATCCCCAAAAGCCTTAGAGGGGTTGCATCGACCCCGCGGTTAGGGCGAGGGTTAAGAACAGCCCTACGCAAACAATAAATATAACCTCAACCAGTCTCAAACTAGGTATATCAGGAGGAATGAGCAGACGCCTCAAACGAACTGGGAACTACGCTCAAATCAAGTCGAAGGCTTGGTTTGGTTACCTTTGAGTTCCTTAGGTTGGTATCTATCCTCCAGTTCGGATGTTCGGGATTTGGAGAGGTGAGAAACAAGGCAAGACTGCTGGGACCATTCCGCCTTCCGCAGTCCTCAATACTTCTGGACGGTAACCCCAACGGCACATGAATACAACAGCCGGCGCCCAGCGTGAGTCGGCGAGGGACTAGGAGCCGGGGCCCAGCGTGAGTAGGCACGGGATGGGAGCCGGGGCCCAGCGTTAGTCGGCACGGGCTGGGAGCCGGGGCCCAGCGGGAGTCGACACGGGACGGGGATTCCGGCGGCTCACTGTCGTTCTAAACTCAGGAATATTGCATGATTGCAGCCAAATCCTAGTTAGGTGGGACGTGCAATCGTAGGATGCAGGACATGGCGCGAACAACAAGGGTGGTGACGAGGACGACCTGCTCGAAGGATGCTCAAAATGCAGCCTTTTTAACGTCAACTCTGCATCATATTTTCCGGCACTTTCAATAAATTATTCCTCGTTGCTTAACACTGTCAGAAAGAACATGATTGCCTGAACATTATTTGGCCATTGCGAAATGAAACTAGAATTTGGTATTTGCTGACGCATCAGCATCAAAATAACCGTAATTTTATGGCTCAAATGACAGTTAGACCGACCGAAAAAATTAAACCCATTACCCGCCGCAGAGGCCACAGGATCTCACCTCCATGCTCGCAGGCAATGAAACTGCTGTTACCACTAACCGCGTCCCACTGCTCCAGCGTCAGCGCGCACCGCCGTCCACGACCCTCGGCACCACAGCCCGAGCCAAGTCCCGGCCGTCCCGGCCCGACCAGAATGTAAATAGTCCCGGCGCAGCCAGGCGGCTCGCCGCTCAGCCCCCCTCCCCACACACGTTGCAGTAGTAAAACCGCAGAGCATAACAAACCCCCTCTGCCCCCGGGCGTGGTATACTCCGATGCCACTCAGATATCCGTTACCCTCAGTTCGCGTGTTCCGGCTGAAGCGGACATTACGATGCGAACTCACGTTGAAGGCCAATTTCTATCACCATGGAGCGCCAAATCAGCTGAGGAGCCTTGAAAGAGGGACCGACGTTAGAGACGTCACAAACCTCAAGGACATTAAAAGGTGATGCGGAGGGCTTTAATAATTTCAAAATGCACCAATGGTAGCCCAGCTTCTAAACGGCTAGGGAAAGCTGGCCGGATAAGCCGGGTGTTCTCATTGGTTAGTCACAGACCCCAGTTCGAAACCCGGGGAATTTAAATCTAACGGCTGGTGGACGAGGAAGCAGGCGGACGAGTTGTGCTTACGGTGTGCAAATTGGGGCGGAATTTCGAGATTTTGACATAAAATTGGCGATTTACGACTGGAGGATCCATACGGCATATATCGTAAGTAGTGTCCGTACAGATCTACTGTATGGCAGCTTGCATAACTATGCGAAAATGCTTGCAACCTGTGCTTTTAACGTGTTGGTTGTCGGGGTAAAACTAGAGTTTGTCTTAAATAGAATTCATGTACCAATGCATCCTTTTTGTTGGAGCAGTTTCAATGTCTATTTGGATTTAGCTGGCGTTATAATGTGCGCATATGCTAAAAAAACATTTAGGTAGGTAGGTAGCCTACCTTCTCAACCTACCAACATGCCTCATCATCCTTAGATTGAAGCCAATTGGTACAAATCAACATAAAGGTGATGTATTTGAAGCTTGGATATAATATCCATCAGGTGTTTTCCTACCTACCTACCTACCTACCTACCCCAGCATTGCTCAAGGCTCATTTACTTAAAGTTTGCCACCTCATGGTAGGTATGTAAGTGCCTTGCCCTGAACCTGCATAAATGCCTACAATAGAGATGATGTTTCTGCTATGTGTGGAGGGGTTTCAGCTGCCTGTATTCCGAAAGGTTCAAATGGCATCTAATGATGCTTTGAAAATATGACTAATTCTGATGCGGCCCAATCACTGAACATTAATCTCCCTTTGAATGACATCATCCCCTTGCACAAAAGCCTGAAGTCTAACTCACTTCAGGTAATGATACCTATAACACAAATATTTCAAGCATACTTTGCTCACATACTCCTCAACCACACCATACCCAGGGGCATATGTGGGATTTCCAATAGGCCACACAGCTAAAAAATACAAAAAAAATTATAGTTGACCACTGCAGGAAACCAAAATTATTTGTGTGGCATGCAAAAATATTGCATTTTTTTATTTTTTAGCTCCTCATCTTCAAGTTTTAATGTCAGCACGCACTAACAAACACATCAATACATGTAATAAATCTGATGAGGGCACATGACACTGCTGCGTGTGTACACCCCTGGCCATGTACGCTCCATGTGCATCTTATATTTGGATTTGTTCACTTACATGTTGCTCAAATGACAGCTAGGAATGTTAATGTTCATGTTTTGTATGGTTACTATATCAACTGATGGCATGTATCATGTTAAAAAATATGTCAACATCTGAAAAATGTCATTGGTGCACGTGCATTGCAGCTGGTGTGCCCCTAAAACCAAAATACTTTTACTGGTGACAATTATCTGAAAGGCAGCATGCAAGCACTTACTTGCCTGACTATGCATGTCTATTAGCCAAAAAAACAGAGAAATGACCATATGCAATGCAATTTTCTGCTTACTTAAATTAATGGTTTTGCTAAAGTTGCATTTCCTTTAAATAATAAGGTTAAATAAAATCAGCTTTGGGTTATCTTCTGTGTGGGTTTCTAATGTCTTAAGATTGCTGTTTCATATGACACCGCATTGATGTGTCATGTGCTGAGAACACTCAGAAGCATGCTCATGTATCACAAGAGGGTAATAATGGATTTGAATATGGCCAGCACAGAAAGTGTGCCATGTCAGGATAATGTGTTGTACACAATGCCACACTAACTGCCAGTTTATTGATTTTCCCATCCCTCATTCACTTGTCATGAATCTTAGTATTGTTACATCAAGTTAATACTTAATATTATTTTAATCACTTCAGTTAATAAACAAAATATATTGTTGGAACAGACTCATAACCATGGGGTTAAGCATGCTGATCAATATACTATATATTTTTAGTAGTTTCTTCAAGAATGATCTTTCACTTCCATTTCTGATATCACTGTAGTTCCCACATTACATGGTCATTCATATGTAGCGCCCTGACAACATTCCAGCACTGCTGCACCCAGCACAAACATCACTAAAAATTGGCCTGTGCATGCAAGTTATTCTTAGCTCCATTCTCAGTTGCCATGCTAACTTTCTTACTAAATGCTGGCACTCATTTTGTATATTGTCCCAACACAGACAGAGCTTTGATATAACACATTTGTTTGTTTGTCATCCAAAATTAGCACGAAATTCGCTATCATTATCGGTTATTTCACCATGATGCGAACGATCTTGACTGACGAGTTGCTAACTCCACCTCCATTCCACCGGCACCGGTTTTCTATCCGGCAGTCGGGCCTGTTGCGCGCATTGCCCGGTTGTTCCGGGCCCGCGGCAAAAGCTGCACCGTAACCCTCTTCCCGACACCGTACACACCTCCACCAGTACTCACGTCTGCCGGCCAAACGACGCCTGCCCAGGCCTGATCTGCAGCGCCAGGTCGACTCGCCTGCACATGACTGGCGCGCAGCTGGGCCAAAAGCACTGCATGCCGGGCTTAAAAAGAGCAGTTTCAACCTAGACCTATCAACCGACCTCAGCCTAAAAGTATATCATGTCTGCTTTCTAAGCACCAACGCATGGATTTCCCCCATTGTGGATCTTTTAGTCTGCGTACTCGCCCCTTCGCATCACGGAATCCGCATCAGAGGAGGGCAGGGAACTCCGTCGAAAATTTCTGAAAGAAACAACATGTATGAGAATGACGGAAATAAACGCCTTTCGAGAAACACAACTTATGTCCCCAACTTTTGAACAGTGACAGGGCCGCCCCTGTTATCGCAATAACAGATTACACCTATTACAATGACAATTACAATTACAATGAATTTCACACGAAACGTGCACGCAGACATCCTGCAAGAAGAACGACCCGGATGCTTCTCGCTCTCCCGATTTCCAACGGGAAAAGGAATCCTGGAAAGGCTGGATATTGAGTCTTAGTGCTCAGATCTACCTATTCCATGGCCGCCGAAATACTGTTCAATCATAAAATCGTTGAATTGAAATCGTGATGTTCATATATGCTTATACCATAAATGGTTGAAATTACGCAATATTATAAATAATTTGTCGTTTGATGATTCAGCACACGCAACACAACAACGTCGTTCTTCTAACATGAAAAGTGTGCAAGGAATTGACCTTGCGCTGTTCACATGCCGTTCCCTCCCGTCTGTGGTACACGGCTGATCTGATGGGAATGACGCTTCGGGCAGGCGGCGCAGCCATGGACCCGCTGCCGCACTGGTCCGACACGGAGCCAGAGCTGGACGCCACCCAGCTGCAGGAGCACGCCGAGCTGGACAACATCTCGCCCACGCTCATCGCCTCCAGCATCTCTGACCTGCACGCCAGCTACCTGCTCAACGACCTGAACTCTGACTTCGTGCTGGGCGACTGCGAGCGGACCACGCTGGCGCTGGACTACGTGCCGCCGGCCGCCGAGCCGCCGCACTCGCACGGCCCGTACCCGTGCACCTTCTCGGCCGACACGTGCCCGCTGAACCCGTTCAGCGACGACCCGCTGTTTGGTGAGGACCACCTGCTGATGACGCCCGAGACGGCGGTGACGCTGCGCTCGGCCTCGTCTCGCTCGCGCGTCACCTCGCCCGACACGCCGAGCCGCCCGGTCGGCCGCCGCCCGCTGCGCCACGTGGTCAAGCCGCCGGCCGGCGCCGCCTACCGCGAGCCGCCGCCGCCCTATCCGGGCCTCACGCGCCAGGAGCGCACCGACCAGACGCAGTTCTACGGCGTGTCTCCGTCGCGCCGGCTCGGCCTGGACGAGCGCTCGGTGCCGCGGCTGAAGGTGGTGCGGCGCGTGGCGTCGCCGGCGCTGCTGCGGCACGCGGCGCCGTACCCGGCCGCCTCGCCGCCGCCGGCCGCCGCCGGCCGCCGGCTGGGCCGTCTCACACCCACCGATCAGACCGAGAGTCAGCACACCAAGCCCAGCCTCTCGTACGTCAACCTCATCACGCTGGCGCTGCTAAACAGCGAGACGGGCAGCCTGCGTTGCAACGAGATCTACGACTTTCTGCAGTGAGTGGCGCGCGCCACCTGGGCGGTGGTCTGGAAGGCGGACCGACCGGTCCGGGTGAAAGTTTGCGGCTCTGTCTTTCTTTTTTGAGCAGACCTGATCAACTGTTCCAGATGCCTGCGTGCTGCGAGAAATGGACACGACACCGAAAAGCGCGGATATGTTAGGAACTTGTTTCGTTAGCGTGCAAAATATGCTCTGACGATCTTGCTGATAGTTATCCGGTCTTAATAGGACCATGTGCTGCAACCGGACCATCCAAGTCTGCTGCGGAGCTTCCTGGATGCCAGCAATGAGCTTAGTGGAGCGGCCCCTGTCTGAGGCGTGCGTGTGCGCGTGCCGCGTGCCAGTGTGTATTACCACAACGGTCTCTTTCCAGGAGGGTTTTCCCGTACTTTCGGGAAGTGAGTTCAAAAACTTGGAAGAATGACACCAGACACGCGCTCAGTTCAAATCAGTCGTCTAGCAACTTCTGCAAGGCTCCGGAGAGCAAGGATCCATCCGGTATGCCACTGATGTGATTTCGTTTGGCTACTGTAGTGGAATCATCGCTTTATCACTCCCACATTATGTTGTCGTCCTATGGGTGGTTCCCTCCAGCTTGTTTCATAGCTGATTTTTTCGTGCCACAAACCGCGCCATATTTCTGTTACTTTGTATGCCTGCTCTGCTCCATCAGACATCAGATGTTGTTCCTCCGCGATATGCGTTGCTCGTTTCTCAGCCTCCAACATGCCGTTTCTCAGCCTCTGCTATGACATTCCGCGGTACCTATAGTTCTATACGTAGTGGCTGCACTGTTCCCAGCTAATGGGTCTCATGTTATGCTCGCGAGTATTGGGCATGGTAAACAGAACGAAGACCATACGGTAAATGTTACTGCGAATGAGGTGCCTTTCGCATTGCTTTGTGACAATGGCATAGATCAAAACGACGGGGGCGTTTCCGTCATCAGCGCGGCTGACAGTGTCAGTTCCTGCCGTTTATTTCTTCCCACTCTATCCGTCACCTTCAGCATTGTCTATCAAATCAGTGTGCCAAAAGTCTTTAATCTATGTATGTGCGGTTCCAGGTGCAGCGAACAGAGGCGCGCTTTGGATGGCGAAGCCCGAAAAGGTGACGTTTCTTCACGAGCACCTCTCCAAGACGTACTGCAAGTTCGCTGACAATATCAAAGAGTCAATGGAGAGCCCGGGTGAGAACGAAGTCTGCCATGGCCGTCAAGTAGCCATCGGGCCGTTTAGTCTTCCTATACCATTTACCGACGTCCGGTATCGCCCGTCGCCCCTGCATACCACGTTGTGTCTCGTGTGCAGTTTGTTTTTGCCACCTCGCACTACCTGCGGTCTCTGCGGGCGCACTACCTATCTGCCGTCTCCTCACACCACCCAGAGTCCCATATCGTGCCCCATCTCACACGGACCGCACCATCTCCAGTTTCCTCACTCCATCCACCCCCATTTCGTTTCTCCACATTCATCTCGCCTTGTTATACCATCTTCCACCTTCTCACAGTCCTACTCATACCGTGTCCCGCCTGCCCACACAGCCTGCCTTTTTAAACCGTGTTCCGTCTCCTCACACAGCCCGCCTTCTCATATGGTGTCTCGTCTCGCACAGGCCACCTTCTCATATCGCGTCTCAGTTCCTCGCACAGGCTCCCTTCTCATCTCGTACCTCTTTTCCTCACACAGCCTGCCTTCTCATATTGTGTCTCGTCCCCTTACACACACTGTCGTCTCGTGTCGTTTCTCGTCTTCTCACACAGCCCCTTCTCATATCGCGTCTCTTATCCCCACACAGCGTGCCTTCTCCTATCGTGTCTCATCCTACACACCGGCTGCTTATATCGTGTCTCGTCTACTCACACAGGCCGCCTTCCCATATCGTGTCTCGTCTCCTCACAAAGGCCGCCTTCTCATATCTTGTTTCGTCTTCTCACACAGCCTGCCTTCTCATCGTCCCGCGACTCGTCGCCATTTTATGCTATTCTCTTTGTTTTCATGCTGGTTGATATCACCTTGCTCCTTTCTGCGTTGCCTTTGTTGCGCTGCACTGTTCGGCGCGCGATTCATTACCTCCTCATGTCTTTGGCCATGACCTGAGGTCGGACGCTTTCTTGCTTTGCGGGGACCCGTGGCTTGCAGGGTGCCGATGTGCTGATAGTGCGGTGGTTAACGCGTCTGCGCTTACCACCGCACGTCTGGTAAACCAGAGGTACGAGGTTCGATTCCTCGCGGTGTCCACCCTTCCTGCCACAGTGAGAGGTGGACGGCGTCATACAGCCTCGCCAGCTGAGCGCATCGTAAAGACCTCATGACGATGGCGACGACGACCCGTGGTGTGCTCGATATGCTACCGGCCTGTACAGTCTCTGACGTTGTCTGTCTGTGGAAACCTGGGCTGGGGATCCTACCCTGACGCTGTCCGATTCTGTGAGGACTTGTGCTTGGCTGACCGGCTCGTGTGACTCCCGAACGTGTGCTGGGCTGACCGCCTCGCGTGACCCCTGAGCCTGCGCTGGGCTGGCCGGTTTGTGTGACTCCTGAACCTGTGCTGGGCTGACCGGCTCGTGTGACTCCTGAACTTGTGAGCTGGCCGGCTCGTGTGACTCCTGAACCTGTGCTGGGCTGACCGGCTCGTGTGACTCCTGAACTTTTGCTGGGCTGACCGGCTCGTGTGACTCCCGAACCTGGGCTGGGCTGACCGCCTCGCGTGACCCCTGAGCCTGTGCTGGGCTGGCCGGTTCGCGTGAATCCTGAACCTGGGCTGGGCTGACCGGCTCGTGTGACTCCTGAACTTGTGGTGAGCTGGCCGGCTCGTGTGACTCCTGAACCTGTGCTGGGCTGACCGGCTTGTGTGAATCCTGAGCCTGTACTGGCTCGTTTGGGACCTATGCCAGGCTGGTCGGCCCGTGCGACCCCGCTTGATTCCGTCTGAGCCCGTCTTGCTACCCCTGACTCCGCCTGACTGCATGACCCCGTCTGACCTCGCCTGACCTGACCTCCGCAGAGCTGTACGACGAGCTGTTGCGCAGCATCGCGCTGTGCACCGGCCTGGATCCACTGTCGCCGTGCGACCAGTCGCCCACCATCGGCAGCACCACTGACTCGCCGGACGAGGCGTGAGCGTCGCCGGCCTCGTGCAATCGGCCGCCCGCCGGCCCCGCGCCGGCTCGCTCCCCTAGACGGGCCCGGGCACCGCTAGTCTTGTTACGGTATTATCGTTTATGACCACTACCCGTCCCTAGTCGCTCGCGAGCGCGCGCTACCGTCGATGAAGCAGGGTATTGTGAGGAGGCCGTCATACTGACGCCCCCGGAGAACCGGAGCGCACCGGCACACCTTAGTGCGCATCTCTACTGCGCGCTCTCTTGGCGTTGTTTCGTGTACATCGTAGCCTTCTTAGCGTACAAAACCTGGCTGTGAAGGTTTTCGTAGATTTTTCGAGGGCTTTTTTGGAGAAAAAATGTACAATTGCGTCCTTTTATAGAATCATAAGATAATACTCTTGCACTGTATATAATCATGGCTCCATTGAACATCTGTTTTGGTTTGCGTCCGTGTGCACCTCCCTTTTGATAATGTTTTGCTCTTGTTTCCAAGGCCCGTTCTCCTTGGCTGCTACGGGGCGGAAGTGCATCCATGTTGTCAGGCGATCGTATGCGTTGAATTGCGGCATGCAGTGAGCACATGGGTGCGGCACGTCTTCCGTGTAACGACGGATTTTGGGTGTACGTGTCACCCGAGTAACAAGGTTTTTGTCAATCATTATTGTGTAGAAGTAGATAAGATTCAAAAATAAACGGCTGAAAGGCGCCCGCTTCTTGACTGGAGCACACCATTATACACCCTACTATGCTGGGGTGGGCAGGTCTGTGGCTCCTCTCTTCCCCATCCCAACCCGAGATGCGTGACATGCATACTTGCGGTAAATAGGTGACGCACGTTCAGTGGACGCGGACGCCCCTCCGCCGTGGAAGCGTGTCGTGCAGTGGACATCTCCGCCGCGGAAGCGAGTCTCGGTGGACGACCCTCCGTCAGGGAAGCGTGTCGTTCAGTGGACAGCACTTCGCCGCGGGAACATGCCGTTCCCGCAGTTCCCCGTTCGAACATGATGAACATGTCGGGAACAGTGGACGGGCCCCGCCGCTAAAGCGGGTCGTGGAGCCGTGATGAAAGCAACATATGCAGCTAGGCTGTTTCGTCTGGGTGCCAGATGTTTACAGCTAAGTGCAATTTATTAAACGATCCGGCCTGCAAAATATTCACGGCAAGAATGCATCAATGCATCAAGTACATCATCGCCCAACATACGGCTGGAACGCGCGGTTGTCTCCGTTTGCTGCAGACGCTGACTAGGCAGTACATCATGGTCAGATTGTTCTTGGCGTGTGCCTTGGTTGAATTCCTTACTGTTTGCGGTTTGTGCACTCGCCCCTCCCGTGTTCTGGCCGCGTCTGTTTGCCAACGCCTTCATTGCAGCACGGCAGTGGCCATCACGGGGAAAACAATGGGACACCAGCCCGCTCTTCACTAAATGTGCACGCAGATGCATGCATCTCATGAGCCCATGGGTGGGGAACTGCATCGAAGCAAGTCAGGGTGTGTGTGAAGTTCTAAAAACCTTCGTCCGGTCTAAATAGCTGCAAGGTGCGGAGACCTGGACCCAGGACAGCGCCAACGCGTAATATGCTACGCGTGCAGCCTGTGCGGTAGGCCTCACGTGCTATCTGTATGACCCGCGACTTCCGACATTGGCCCGGACAGGGAGGGCCATCACAAGGCCACCTGGGCATATTTCAAATTTCCCACCGCAGCTGCTGAACTGTCTGCAATGATTGGGCACAGTCGGTGTTGGAAGACATGCCCCGAATTTGCTTGACTGCTTGCCCCCACCGATCAACCGAATAAGCTATCATTTCGGCATCGCAACAGTCGCGGTTGATGACCGGTGTCAAACGAGCACAATCTTTTTGTGTTCTTCACAGCCACCTGGCCACCTTTACCGATCAGCGATCTTTACATTTTCTTACCTTTGCAACCAAATGTGCAATGTTAAGCTGTTGCATTAGCGGAGTAAAGGTATATATTGCCCATTTTTTCGCCTCGTAGCTGCGTGAAATTTTCAAATGTGGTTGGAATACGGCACACTTTTTATGACGTCATTAAAAGGGATTTGCAGAATCTGAAAACTCCCCATGACACCCAGAATTACATAACACCTTGATGGCTGGCTCGGGGAGCCGTGTTGGGCTGGTGGGGACTGCGGGAGTTGAGCTGAAGGTGATCGTCAGAAAAGGTTGGTGAGCGTGGTCTAGGTGCATGAGTGAAATGTTATGGCTGAGATAGCGGTCCGACAATGTAAGTGATGGGCTGTCTTGTTGATCTCAGCTTGCCTAGGCGGATTGCGCAGTTTGCAGAACGTCACAGTAGTTTTTCTGGTCAGCTGTGCTGGCTGGATGGTGCATCAAATGCCTAGGTGGATTGCATATAGACATATAGACCTGAAAGTATCATGCCGACAAAGAGCCACAAGGGTCCATTGAGGTTGGCTGCCCCCAGGCTCTATGCCCATCCTTTAAACTCATCTTACCATCTGATGACTGCTGAGCTCTCCAAACTGCTTTTCTCCAACATGAGTGTGGTGAGCAAATGGTTGATGCATGTCAGATTAGAACAGCTAAGTTCTTGAAACCTGCTTGTTTTTCAACATGAGTGTGGTGAGCAGATGACTGGCGCGTGGGTTGCAGGATGGCCAACTTTCAGGGCTAGAAAATGTATTGAAAGGGCCAAGCCAATCTGATATTGTAAAGGCACAAGAATTTGTATATGCTTCTACATGTAGGAGAGGTATTCTGCTTGCAGTCCTGCTGAATTGACCAAAATTGTCTGGATTATGTCATGCTTTTATTTCTGTTTGCACATTGTGGGCCCAGCATTTTGTGTAGGTGAGAGAAGGGGGAAAAGTTTTTTTATTTATTTATTATATTATTATATTATTATTATATATATATATATATATATACTATATACAATTTTTGCTTAAGGAAGACAGGATATTTTCATATTTCATGGCTTACATTCATTATGTTAATGGGAATTTATTCAAAGGGAATGTTTGACAATGGATGGTTTTGAAGACAGCATTAGATATGAAGAAGTAAGTTTAATTATAGCTATTCACATGCTAGGTAAAAAGACTACTCTAGAAAAACATTTTCACCTTGGTGCCTAACAGCATCTCCCCATCACGGCAATACAGGAACCCTGCAGCCAGCATAGCTGTCCTCTCCATTGGCAATACAGGTGCCAAAGTAAAAAAAAGCTGAAAAACTATCTTTCTAGTACATGGGCTCCTCAAAAGCCATCAATTGTGTCACAGAAAGTTTGTATGGCAGCTTTCACCTGCAGTTCCTGAATCTCCCAAGAGATAACCTGAGTGCTGGAGATGTGCCTAAGCAAATGTTGTGAGTTGCTCTGGATTTAGCCATCTGTGTATTTATCCATGATCTTAAGGTGCTTAATTGTATTAACATCTTAGGCAATAGAGGTATTCTTAATTTATTTTGACTACCAGTCTAATTATCATGACAGGGAAGAATGTATAGCTTCTTTTATTATATTGCACAAAAGGTAATTTGTGTAGAAATCTTGAAAAGCTTGCACAACATGGGTTGGGAACCAATAAACTGCTGTATATCTGGAAATCACACTCACAAACTTGGGATATGGATGGCTTGTGACAATATTTTTTTACCTGTTGATTCAGCAGCTTATGATAATTTTTTACCTTGAATTCAGCACCTTGTTGTGCTTAATGGCCAGTGGAATAACATAATTTGAATGTCATTATTATATCATGGATGCTTGGGTAACATTGAAATAGTTCCACATCTTTGCAGATGTGTAGCTCAGAAATTGGAAGGTGTTAGGTCTCCAGAAAAGCAGGGCTGTGGATTGCACCAAATAATCTTCAGTGTAAAATTTCAGTTGAAACCCCAGTACAAATGTAGAGCACTCTCTTTAAGACCCAACAACAAACAAAAATAGAAATAGGCATAGATATAGTCTGTCCTAATAGCTCAGTTGGTTGGAGCACCTGCCCTCTGATCCATCCACCCCTGGTGCTTCAGGGGTTCAGTATTTGTTTTTGACAGGTATGCTGGCTGGTGGCAGTGGCCATGCTGAAAGTGTTGATGTCAGAGGCAGGACAGACTGAGCAGAGCATTGTGGCATGTTTAACTTTTGCCTGAAATTCTGCTGTTGCCCTGGAATTGCACTTTTGGGTGATGGAGGTCAGTGCCCACACAACAAGCACTGCTTAGTGTGAGGTCTATTCCTAGAAATGTAGCCATTCACAGGTTGAGATCAAATCTCATTTTACATATTTTAGTTGATTTAGCATGATCTGCAAGCACTTTATTGTAACCTCTAACCATGTAAAAGCCTTCCTCTGTTGTTGTGCTTCAGTTACACTCCATGAAGTCCTCCTCCATATGTAAGCTATTTCATGCACAGCATGTCAACACTGGTGGTGTGTCACCCAAATATGGTGCTGGCCTTAAAACTACTGCAGCCAGCATTATGAAACTGGTGCAACAAGCATAATGATCTTACTTGGCTGCAGGTCAACAAAACTGAAACACAGGAATAGGTGGCATAGCAGCTTACCAAAATACTATCCACATGTGTAGATGTCACTGTTATACACATGCACCAAACTATTTCCATCACTAGGGTTGGTGGAGTGTATGGCATCATGTGAACTAGGCAGATCTAGTGATTTTGTTAGTGTCCCACCCTCATATAAAAGCTATCTCACTCTAGGTAAATGTGTTGGCTTTCACAATGACATAACACCATATTTTACTGGGTTTTGTTGAAGGGAGTGTCCCACCTTTTTGTAAAAGCTACCTCACACTTCATCAATGCATTCGCTTTCATAATAATGCTTATTTTGCATATCATGATGTGGGCAAGTTGTCCTTGAAAGTGTGGTATGAGGAGGGCATGCATTGACAAAAATATGTATGAACATACCCATGTCTATCCATGGCGCTCCATCGCATGTCCTTCAGCGCTTCGTACGTGTCGTGCCGCCGGCCAGCTGACGCGCCGTCGCTGTGTGGTCAGATGCCGGCGGACGTGGAGTGTCCGGCCACGCCGCCCGAGCTGCCGCGCGACCCGACGCCGGAACGCGTGAAGCTGTCGCCGGGCGGCGCGGGCGGCACCAGCCCGTCCGCGTCCGGCCGCGCCTCGCCCGACTCGGCCTGCCCCATCTGTCTGGGTCGGCTCGACAACAAGGCCTTCTCCGATGGCTGCGCACACACGTTCTGCTTCACCTGCATCTTGGAATGGTCCAAGGTGAGGCACCGGTCCTGGCCGGGACCCGGGCGCTCGGAGCCCGCGGCGCTCACAAGGTCAGGGGCATCAGCTGAGGTTGGGTTGGCAGGGCATTACATTTCTGGGGGCAGGGCTAGGCGGGCTTCTGAGTTTCCATGCCAGTCAAGAAGGAGATGCGTGGAGGTCGAGTTGGTGTCAGTGTTGGTTCAGTTTGGTGTGCGGTGTCATCACCAAGGTTTAGTGAGTGCAACGTAGCCACAGCCCATTGCTAGTGCTGGGCTCTTGACTTCATGTGAGCTATCTGTTACCCAGAGTCAAGTTTTGTGTTTGTCTTTCAGACACCCAGCCTCGGCAGTGTGGCTGCAAATCGAAACATAGCTAGCGCCCACCGAAGCCATGTCTCAGTCCCATTTGACGTACACTGGCCGTATTGTCCGTGACGGGAGCAGCATTTTCCCTTGCGTGGTCCGCTGTGAACGACTCAGCCCCCAGCGCTGACGTGGTCTCGGGGGCGATGGGCGCGCTGTGTCCGTATGTGTGGCCGCTGACACCAGGCGGCCGCTCAGTGAGAGCCCGCCGGTGACCGACAGGTGCGCGCTGTGTGTCCGCTCTGCAAACAGAGCTTCACCTCCATCATCCACAACGTGCGGTCGGAGCTGGACTATGACCGCTACAGACTGCCGCCGCCGCCGCCTTCGCCGTCCGATCATCCGCAGGCCTTCATCTATCGACCCGGGTACGAGACACGTGCTGTCACGAGATGATGCGCCACGTGGTGCCTTCTCCAGACCGCTGGTCATAACCAGCAAGACTGGACATGGAGGAGGCCGAGTCGGTGTAGTCGCGTGTGCGCGGTGTGTGCTACCGAGTCTGGTGTTACCAGCACTAGGCTATGCAGAAGACCGACGTTGCCTGCGACCTCTGACGGCCAGCTGCTGTCTGACTCCGCCTCTTTGTGCGCCGCAGGGACGAGACCCGCCCGCGCTGGCTGCAGCTACGCCGCCAGCCCTACCGCTACCGCTCGCTGGTACTGCCCATGCTGTGGCCGGTGGCGCACAGACACGACTACCACCTGCCGGCGGCGGCGGGCCGGCCGCGCGGCCCCGGCCGGTCGCGCGTGACGTCGGACGCGCGCCGCCGGCTCTACACCACGGACATGTGGGCCCGGCCCACCGCCGACGAGCTGACCGGCCGCTACCGCGAGACGGGGCCGGACTTCTACAGGTGAGGACCCGGGTCACCGCCGCGGCCGAGGTCAGGCTACAGGAGACTGGGTCAGACTTCTACAGGTGAGGACACGGGTCACCGCTGCGGCCGAGGTCAGGCTACAGGAGACTGGGTCAGACTTCTACAGGTGAGGACCCGGGTCACCGCCGCGGCCGAGGTCAGGCTACAGGAGACCGGGTCAGGCTTCTACAGGTGAGGACCCGGGTCACCGCCGCGGCCGAGGTCAGGCTACAGGAGACTGGGTCAGACTTCTACAGGTGAGAACTCGGGTCACCGCTGCGGCCGAGGTCAGGCTACAGGAGACTGGGTCAGACTTCTACAGCTGGGGATTCGGGTCACCACTGCGGCCGAGGTCAGGCTACAGGAGACTGGGTCAAACTTCTGCAGGTGTGGACTCGGGTCACCGCTGCGGCCGAGGTCAGGCTACAGGAGACGGATTCAGACTTCTGCAGGGCGTGAGGACTGCTTGGAAGGTGCAATGCTTCGGCCTTGTGTAGTTCCTTAAATTCATTGCTGAATGCACCATTGTTGGCCCTGTTCCCCCGGGTGTTTCAGCTTTCGACTCATTGTCAGATGCCCCCCACCCCTCCCCCCTCCTCTCACCGCATCGCGTGCGGTTTCTCCCACCCACGGTACTGTTTTATTCCCCGCAGAAACAACCCGGCGTGCACGCACCGACTGGTGCCCTGGCTGAACCGCGAGCTGAACGCCGTCCTGGACAGCCCGGCTCACCTGGCGCACGTGATGGAGCACATCATGGAGCTCATCACGCGCCTGCACATCCTGAGTCGAGAGTTCCGTGCGCACCTGCAGCCCTACATGAGCCCCTGGACGGAGCACTTTGTGCACGAGCTGTACTCGTACGCCCGCTCGCCGTACGACATGGTCGGCTACGATCTGCACGTGCAGTACGGTCCGGGTCGGCCGGCCTCGCCGGCAGCGCACGAGGCCGTCAGCTCGGCGGCAGAGAGCGACGACGGTGACAGCGGCAGCGACAGCGACAGCGACGTTAGGGTGCTGACCCCGCCGCCGGCGCCGGCGGCGGCCACTGCCACGCCCACGCCCATCCTGCAGGAGCCGGCCTCGCCCGAGCCGGGCCCCAGCGGCGCGTGCGGCGCGCTCGATCAAGTGCGCACCTTGCTTGACACGATACGCGCGCTCGAATCGGACTCCGATTCTGACTCGCCGGTGGAAGTGGTTGAGGTGTTGCCGCCGCGGCACGAGCGGCCGCCGCTAGTGGTGACGCTCTCCTCGGACAGCGAGGGCCCGGCGCCGACCGCGCCGGAGCCACGCCGCTCGTCGCGGTGCTCACCGCGCGCGCTGGCCTGCTAGTCCCGAGTCACCGCCCCTGCGCGACCAGCGCGCTGCTGCCTCCGCCTCCCAGTCCGCCGCCAGAGCGACCAGGCGTCGGCATAGGGAGGCCGACTCTTCCAGTGGCGCCACGCGCCACAAGCGCGAGTCGAAGCGACGCTCAAGCGAGCTCTCTTCCAAGGGCCGCGCCCGCGACCAGAAAAAGACGGAGGAGAAGGCCTCGTCTTCCTCCAGCCGGCACAAGCGCCGCTCGTCGCGCCACTCAAAGACGCTGGTCGATGGCGGGGAGCGCGCGCCCAAGCGGCGCCACAAGCGCGCCCGGGACGCGTCGCGCTCGCGCCGCCACAAGCGCGCACGCCTCAGCTCGAGTTCGGAGGCCGAGCCGCCGCCGCTGCCGCCGCTTGACGAGCCGTCCACGTCAGGTGCCGTGGCAGGACCGGCGCGGCTGAGGCCGTATAAGCGCATCCAGCCGCCGGCCAGCTCGTCCAGTGAGCGACCGTCCAGCTCGTCGAGCGTGGTGGTGCGGCCGGCGCGCGCCGTCCGCAGCCGGCCGCTCTCGTCAGACAGTAGCAGTGACGAGTCGGTGACGGGCCGCCGGCCGGCCGTGCGCAGCGCCGTGGTGCGGGCGCGCTGCGCGGTGGTCAGTGACGTCGAGTCCAGTGACTGGTGACCAGCGGACGTGGCTTCAGTGACCGGTGACCGGCTGATGTGGCTCCAGTGATCGGTGTCCCCGCACCCGGTCTGGCGAAAGTGGCGCCGCCTACCACGTGGTGCCAGCCCTGGACCGCCCCTTGCCCGACTCCGGATTCCGTTGCATTGGCTGGGATGTGGGATGCGCACAGCGGACCCAATGAAGTGCTTACGTGTGAATATGTTTTGCACGGACTGACAGTGCCTAACGCACTCGTGTTTTGTGATCGAGTGAATGAGGCGTTTTCGGTCGGGTAGCGCCTGACTACGTGTTTTACAAATCAGACGTCCGTACGTGCGTATGACGTACGTTTTTTATAGACCAGGGGTCACGTGGCATTGACAGCCCTGTGTACGGATGCATCCATATTTTATTGTATCGAGGCAGTAAATGTATTCATACTAGTGCTACTCGTCGAATAGTAGACTGATGATTTGTGATGGACAGCAGCCAGCGGCCTTCATTGCTCCTCGTCAAAACAGCAGGTCGTCCTATCGCATCTTCCGTGGACTTGGACATGCCACAGCCACTCATCTTCGGAAACTGTGAGGGGTTACACGTGTTGCAGCGCGTTTGTACTCCCGGGCGCGATGCATCCATGTCTCGAGGGAACGTCGGCGCATGTCTGCTGTGTCGGGCCACCGAGCCGGTGAGTCTCGCCGGGTCCAAAAAGACCTTCGGTTCAGATCAGTCGCAGGTCATCTGCAGTCGGGTCATCGACCCAGCTCGTCAACGGTTCGTTGTCACACGTGCCATCCTCACTTACAGGTCACCTCATACGCCACCCAGATAGCAACGCTCCGAGGCGAACCCACACATCTCCCAGATTCGGCACCGAGAGTGGAGCGATGTAGGCCGCCCGCCATCGTCACGGCAAGCCAGCGCCCTGCAACTACAGCTGCGGCACGTACAGTTTCAATTGGGCGAAGGGCAGAGGTCATGACGTGCGTCACAAAACCTTGGTTGTGGTTTGTTAGCAATCTTATGAGCGATTTTTGTGACGATGGAGAACTGGCCGGTAGAAGTAAGGAAACAGGTGATAATCGTCCAAATGTAGCCTCAGAGCATAGGGCTGAGCGCGACTGAATTCGAACTTGCCTAGAAAGTGCGGGCGCCAACAGAACTGCTCCTGCTTCTTTTCGAACCACCTACAGGACATTACAGCGAGGAAAGTTCATGTCGTGCGCCACTAACAAGCTGACGATCACAGTCAGGCACCTGCACAGGAGACCCGGAAATGTTGGTCAGGTCAGGCGTTTGCCTTGCATCTAGATAAACAGGCCTCAGCCCGTAGCACCAAGCCTCAAACCATAAAACCCCTAAATAATGATAGATTGCATAGTGCGTACGCATAAACACTCATACGAATCAGTGTTATTAAATTTCTTTAGTCGGATCATTAATTCAAGACCGAATATGACGTCGATTCGGTTGATGAATGGTTCAGTAACAGAAAAATCAGCTGGCAAGATCTATACTAAAGCCGTCCGTAACTGCCACTTAACCTAATTTAAATGAAAGTATTAAATCTTTAATGAAGTTTCAGTTAAAGTAATGCAGATTCAAATTATCTCTGAATCAAGGCGCCACTTGTTTAAGGACAATTACCGGGCTCATGCGACAAGTCTGTCATAGACGACACTTGACAATGGCAAGGCCCAACGCGAAATCACGTCAATGGAAAGGGATTCGGTCACGCCATTGTTTACGCGATCCACGAATTCCTCGCCCCCCCCCCCCCCCCCCCCCCCCCCCCCCAGTACCCAAGACTGCGTGAAGTCATAACGCACTCCCGCCCTGCGGGCATTTATTCAGTTTCGCTCATTGTGCGCTGCACATGGTGTTGGTGTCAGTCCAGGCCGCCTTGACCCAGAATCGACCCACATATTAGGACCACCGACAGGTTCTCTGCCAGGCGGACGGCAAAGCCTTCAGCCACGGAGGGGCGCCGCCCACAGCTCCAGCCGGGCGCGCACATGGTGGCAGCCGCCGCCCAGGGGCTCACTTCTGGCGTACGCGGAGAGAGGCAACCCGTCGACTGGAGCCCTGCCGCACGGCGACGGGCCTACCAAAGTTACATGACTGCAGACGCAACGGACAATCGTGAATACACAATTGGAGGCTTGACGCAGTTGGGGTGGCGGGTTCGAACCTTGCCGCCGGCAGTTTTCGTCGTCCCACGCCAGAATAACTTTAAAGATTACGACACTTGGTAACCAGGCCCACTGTATGCATCGTCAACCCTGATACGCTATCATTACAAGAAAGCCATTTTTAACCACATTCACTCCAGATAGGTCACAAAATAGTGCATTTTCGTCTGTAATATATTTGCACATAATACAGTGACACCGTCACTGAGAAAAACGATACACAATGCATATGCTTACATGTCGTGATTCAGACCTTTGCCTTTGGATCTGACGTACTTTGGATCTGACCCTTCACTTTTGTTTACCGAAATACCCCCCCGAATGTTCCCAACACATGCCTTGGATTCCGTTCCATCGGAGAGGATTCATTCTACGACGCATGAATCGCCTTGACGGTTCATACCACATCCGACACGAGCCGTGTGAGTACGTCAAAAAAACAACAATCATCTCGATGCAACAGCCGTCACGGGTCACCGCCTGCCCCTCTACAAGTCGCGCCACCCCGCTTGTTATAGCGCCGTCTCACGTCACACCGTCTCACCACGTGCCACAACATACGCCGCACATACAAAACGCCGTAACAAGACCCTAAGCCCACCCTGCGCAGCCAGACAACCAGCGTGTCAAGCGCCGGACAACCAGCGCGTCAAGCGCCGGACGAGCGTGTCAAGCACCGGACAACCAGCGCATTAGGCACCAGACAACCAGCGTGCCAAGTGCCGGACAACCAGGGCGTTAGGCGCCGGACCAGTGCGTCCAGCGGTGAATCAGACCCAGGTCACAGCCCAGCCCAGCGCGTTAGGTGCCGGGCCAGTACGTCCAGCGGTGAACCAGGCCCAGGTCACAGTCCCGCTCAGCGCGGTGGGCGTCGGCGCGCCACCGTCCGATCCGCAGCGCTCGCGGCGGCAGAAGACGGCGCGTCCGAACAGGGGCATCACCAGCCGGCCCGGTCACGTGAAGTGGAACCCCTCGGCGTTGAACGCCTGCAGCAGCCTGGCACCACAGACGCTAGTTAGAGCCGCGCTGTTGGGAAAACATCGCACACGAACCAACGAGTGCGCAGCAGTATTAGATGCCACGAGCGCACTTAAAATGAGGCGAATTCGGGGACACGTGCTTGTTTCATCTAAACACGCATTTGGTAGCACGCCTAACACTCTACCTGGAAAGCAGCTCTCCCTTGTCGACATACCAGAGGAAACCGACAACTGCATCGACATTGCGCTGCATATTCGCTAAAATTCCTGCATATGATTTAACAACCCGAACACGAACGACGGTGCCGTCACCCGGGGCAAGTACAATCGACTTACCCCAGGAAGTCATCCATGTCCATGTGTCTCGCTCGCTTGTCCGTGAAGCCGCCGTTCGTGAGGACCTGATCCACCATTCGCCGGGTGTCGAAGCCCTCCGGGACACGCTGAAAAGGCGAGCCGTCAACACAAACACGCATCACATAGGGCCCCAATGGACACTGCAAAGCACACACACACACACACACACACCAGCACACAGGACTACAACAGGTACGTGCACAGTGAATCGACACAAAATCGAAGGGTCCAAACAGGTCCCACAAAAATTCACAGGACGCTCGCAAAAACCCAGTGAGCGATGCTTGTTGTCATTGGGGCTTTACGACGCTCTCAGCTGCTGAGGCTATATAACGTCGCCTGCCTTTCATCCTGACAGGAAGGGCGGGGGGGGGGGGGGGCGTCGCGGGGAATCGAACCCCGTACCTCTGGTTTCCCAGACACGCAGTGGTTAGCACAGACGCGTTAATCTTTTCACTACCAGCACCACGAGTGAGCGATGTTCACTATTCACGAACAAATTGTTAGTGCTAGGTATTCCATCTGGAGCTAAAATCGTCGACACCCGAGGCAAGAGCACTTCAACATTACCAGTCCCAGCTTCACACCGCAGAGCCATCTGCCAAGCAGAAGTTTTCCGGACCGTACACATGCGTGACTAGATGAGACGTGTACGGTTGGCTACAAAGCCAGTTTAACCTTCTCAAAAAAAAATACGACAGTGTTGTTAGGCTTATTCCTCGTCGAATAACCAGGAGAAAGAAGAGATACATAGATTGCTACTTCTTGCTACTGCATGCCATTATCAAAAAGAATAGGGTGTCTGATTACGCTCTGGTTGCATGTACAAATGATATGTAATGCGAGGTACCTGTCTACCTGAATTCGCTTGCAAGTACAAACATTTTTTAATGTATCTTTATCCTTAGTTGGATATACACTGTATCGTATCAATGGCTGACAATTGCTTCTTGTCTAATCCCCTAGTCTGATCCCCCAAATATTGATAAACAGCAGTTTTTCAGCAAAACATACTTTTGCTTAAGAAAACTGCTGCTTTCCATTTGAAGACAATTTTCACGGAATTCCCCTACCCGACTCCCCGCCCATCCACTCCTGGCTTGCATGCCAAAAATCATCCCGGGTGGATGTTGGTAAACAAAAACCGAACTACACGACTGTGTGGTTTTCATGACTCAGCCAATCTCGGTTTAGGTCGAAGCGTCTTGTACTTGAGGCCAGTTTCAAAAAGGTGCCACCCAAGCCTAAAAACGCCGACCAACTCGTCTGCTTTTGTTCGTTTTTTTACCAGCGGATACATTGTGTGCGTAGGAGAGCATGTGATCATCTGCAAACAATGACGCATCTCTGTGCAAATGCTCACTTTCTCCCCCGTCCGAGTACGTTGGCTGCTGTGAAGCCGGAACGCCAGTATCTGACCTCGGTTTCAATACGAGTTACTCAGTTACTACGTTTTGTCCAGAACATCCTACCACTAATGTTTCTAATAAATCGTTAGTTGGTTAGTGAGATTGAAGGGCGCGTCTACTGCAGTGGTTATTTGCGCCTTTCTAATAAATAATATGGCACGTAAAAATATCCTGCCTTGATATGAATACCGCATCTCTCTAACCCAACGGAAATCGAGCTACTTCGGCTATGGCGCGCATGACTCATGTCAGTCATGGCATGCGGCCAGGCCAGCAGCACCAGGCCTGGCCGCCGCCCGTCTCGGCCCACGCCCAGCCCATGTTCCAGCGCTTGTCAGCAGCGCCAGGCCTGGCCGCCGCCCGTCTCGGCCCACGCCCAGCCCATGTTCCAGCGCTTGTCAGCAGCGCCAGGCCTGGCCGCCGCCCGTCTCGGCCCACGCCCAGCCCATGTTCCAGCGCTTGTCAGCAGCGCCAGGCCTGGCCGCCGCCCGTCTCGGCCCACGCCCAGCCCATGTTCCAGCGCTTGTCAGCAGCGCCAGGCCTGGCCGCCGCCCGTCTCGGCCCACGCCCAGCCCATGTTCCAGCGCTTGTCAGCAGCGCCTGGCCTGGCCGACGCCCGTCTCGGCTCATGCCCAGCTCATGTTCCAGCGCTTGTCAGCAGCGCCAGGCCTGGCCGCCGCCCGTCTCCGCCCACGCCCAGCTCATGTTCCAGCGCTTGTCAGCAGCGCCAGGCCTGGCCGCCGCCCGTCTCCGCCCACGCCCAGCTCATGTTCCAGCGCTTGTCAGCAGCGCCAGGCCTGGCCGCCGCCCGTCCCGGCTCATGCCCAGCTCATGTTCCACCGCTTGTCAGCAGCGCCAGGCCTGGCCTCCAGCCGTCTCGGCCCACACCCAGTGAGGCGCGACAGCTCACATACGGCAGCCACGGCGACCTTTCTGGGTTCGCAGCCGGTCTGATGACCTGCGGTCAGCCGCCGTCCGTCCTAAGAAGGCTGGCCGACATACCCAGAGTGACGAGGTGCTGTTTTAGAACTTTCCACGGGTTTCCAGGCGCGCCGTGTACTTTCTGACACGAATGACGGTGAAACTGCCCCGCGCATTCACCCCAGACGACCTGTGCGACAACCTCCCATTTGGCTGCATCAACAGACAGCATTCAGTGTGGCCACTGCCAGTGAATCGCAAACGCAAATCGCAGACGCACAGTTGCGTCTGCGTATATGGCTTTTGCGTTGTAAGCCAGTGGGCCCCTGGCTTACAACGCAAAAGCCCTGTGAATCCACACGACCAGTCACAATCGTACAATAACATCCGCAAATACTAGCCGCGGAAGGGACCATCTGGTCCAAACAGTCTCAACAAAGGGTTGAGTCGCACGTTTGATGCTAACAGCCTCGCATGTTTCACCGCAAAAGCCACCACATCCTGAAAAACATCCACGACTGAGTATAAATAGAAATAGCCCAAGACGATGTGGTCGTGATCTGTGAGCACAACAGAACAGCGGAGGCGGATGCCATGAAGATCAACCACATCCCAACTCTGCCGCCAGGCACGCCACGACCAGAGCAGCACTCCTCCGCCCGCTCGAGCCCCACGGCCGGCGCTCACCTTGTTCTGCGTCGAGCACCAGGTGACGTAGTTCTGCTCCAGCATCTGGGTGACGGTGGCCAGCTTGAAGGCGGCGCCCACTGTCTTGTGCTTCCGCACGAACACGACGCGCACCAGGCCGTCCCACTCCTTGAAGTTGATGGGCGGCGGGGGGTTGCGCGGCTCCAGCCGCACCACACTCGACTCCACTTTGGGCGGCGGGCGGAAGTTGTTCTTGCCGATCTGGCGGTACGACGCGACACTGACGGCCGGGCCGGCTGCGCGTCCGTGCGTGGGCGCCACCGAGCGCCCGTGTTCACGGGGTGCGCCCTTGCGCGCGAATGCGTGCGTGTGTGGGTGTGTGGAGGTGCACGCAAGCGTTCAATAGTGCTGGGCGAATGTATCCGGGAAACTAATAGCATTCATGGTTTTTAAAGGAAGTGCTCCACATTTGTATGGGATTTATAACAGCCATCTTGAGGATCATTTGGCGCAGTTCATAGCACCGCCCATAAGACCTAAAACCTTGGAGTTCCCGAGCTATTCGCCCTCGAAGATGTGCAGACTATTTCGGGGAGACCATTCCAAGGTTACCCTGACACCCATGACACCATAAAATCGTCATTCAAATTCCGCCAGTACGTTGGTTATGTGGCAATCGGTTATTAGTTACAGCCTCAACAAAGTTGTTTGCAACCATATGCCATATGATCCATCACTGGCGCCACGACACGTCAGCCAGTGCACATGTGCCATATGACCCAAGACAAATTTTTAAGGTCAATAAAAATGTAACTGTCAAGTCATTCCTATCTGGCGTTCGTGAGCACGTTTTCCAGATAAAACGGCCACCAACTGGCACTCAATCAACATCATGCAGGGTACGATGATGTAATCAAACAATGACCTATTGAGGAGCATATTTACTACACAGCGAGATTGTTTTGCCTAGAGCAGTATTTTCCACTAAAAAGTATGCCAATAGTTGTAAGTGAACTTGTTTTACAACATGCAATGATTGTCTCAATGTCTTCAAATGTGGAGCATTTCCTTCAAAAGCTGGTTAATATGGAATCAGTTGTCCTCAGCAGTATGATTATCTACATGCGATACAAATATCCTGGCATTTAGGATGTGACGCGCGAACTTTGGCTGCTCGCCACACAACGCATCTTCAGGCATCTCTCAGTGACACATCAGCCCGTGCACACATGCCATATGACCAACACTGCCGCGCCAAAGGGGGGAGGGGGGAGGGGCGCTCAGTCCGGGACAGGCTGCTGCTGTGCCTCACTCACCTTCATGATGTGGTCGACCCTGGCCAGCAGCTGGGTGTTGACCGAGAGACGGCAGTAGAGCTTATCGCCGGGCGGCGCCACCAGACGCTGCGCAAACTCGCGCTGGAACATGAGGATGGCGCAGCGGAAGAACGGCCGGTGCAGCAGCAGCTTAAACACAAACGGAGACGAGATCTGGTACGGCAGGTTGGCCACGCATACGTCGAAGAACGGTAGGTCCGTCTTCAGCACATCGCCGACGACGATCTGCAGCTTCTGCTGGAGGGGCGTGCCCTGTACCCGCTTCTGCAGTTCGGCCACCATCCTGGCCGGCAGGAGAAGGAACATGTCAGCCATGCCACAGGAACCAAAGGAGTGCTACTCACTGCACTACACTGACATTGAAAACTGCTGGTGCTTTAATACACCAAAGGCTATATAAACAGGAAATTTATGCATTTCAAATTCAATTATCCACTATTTCCTTTGGATTACTGATGTTCAAGTGATGCTAAACTGTTCCCCATACTTCATCCATGCTAGTACGAATGTCCTCATAAAGATACAAATATGATGCCAAAGTAAAAACAAATACATCATATTCTGTAACTGCGCTGCACACATTCAACAGGAATGGCCTGGCACATCCAACGTGTGTAAGCTGTTAGTGCACAGCACTTAAATCCATATACTAGTAAACCTGTTTGAGGTAGGATGCTTCTGAACAGGGGCGTTTCTGGATTATTAACTTACAGACAATACTGCTCTACCCTTTTTGTTTCCCTGTCATGGCTGCTTGCTTACCTGGGGTCCACTTCACATGCAATCACTTTCTTCACTTTCTCCAGCAACTTGACAGTCATGTTTCCTGTCCCCGGGCCAACTTCCAGCACCACATCCGTGGATCTAAGAGCTGCTTTGTCTACCATACTCTGTATGATAAGAGGGTTCTTCAGAATATGCTGTCCAAGGTCTGTGTTGAACAACATTCCTGAAATAAACGAAGACATTGTCCAGCCCACAGCAATTTGATGGAAATATGCTGACTGCCCTTCACCTGTCCCATCAACAGGGGGGAGTGCAATACAGCACAAGCAAGTTTGTGGACATTTTGCATTATGCATGCTGACTGCTCAGCACAAATAAATAAGAGAAACTAGCTTACAAAAAATATGACACCTAATGCTTGAACTCATTGATCATGCTGGTGTGATCCATATAAATATAAAATAATTTTCATTGCCTAGCCTCATATCTACAACTACCACAATAACATGATAAGTCTCATTTTACCCAGGAAGGGCTCAGCCAGGTTTCACTTGATAAGATTGTGTCATATGGCATAAGGCTCTGGTCAATTTTTGCTGATCCCTACTGTGGCATAACAAAGGCTCTTATTTTTTCATGCAGTCTTAGTATACTGTAAATATGGCATAACTGCTCATTTCCATCAAAAGGGATGATGCTGATATGTGATATAAGTTTACCAGTATGTAAGTGTACATAGTTCCTTTGCAAGACAGAGCCAGTAACATTCCTACCTGTGGGAATCATCATAAGCCACTTCTATGTTAATATGTATCATTAAAAAACTGATCCATTGTAAGCTTATTGAAAAGTCTGCTATAAAATTCTGGGAGAGCGGGGGGGGGGGGGATAAAAAAGCTGGATCTCATGTGACCCAATCTGTTAACCCTGCATGACTGTTAACCCAGCATGAGACACCTACAAGACATCACATCAATGTGCTAAACCAGCAGAAACATGCTCCAAACTCAGGCTAGACCTGGGCTGTAAAGCATCCATCTGACACAAGGACACTTAACATGACATTGTGCAACAAACCCTGATATAACCTGATATATGATACAATATGACATACACAGCACCAAATGCAGGCTGGTCAAAGGGTGGTGAAGCTACCCGTTATTTTGGTAACAAATGCTTTGAAAGTTTTTGTTTGAAAATTTCTGAGTGACAACACAATGCCTTGAAACGCAAGGTTTGGTTACACAATTGTGGCTTGTGCAGTATTGATTAAAAGCCAACTGATGGCCATCATATCTGAAAATCATACTCATGAATGCCAAAGTCCAAATATGAACAACCTAACAATCAAAGGGAATGGCAGGGTTTGAATGATGTTATTACGGCATCATGGGTGCCCTTCAAATAGTGTCACCAAAATAGTCTGCATATCTTTGTGGATGTGCAGATCAGAAAATAGGGGAGTTTAGGCCTTAAGAAGGGCAGGACTGTAGGCTGTTACAAATGACCTCAAACATTGCTATTTCAGATCCAAAGCTTATAGAAATGCAGAACATCCCCTTTAAAAGTACCTTGGAAAAGTCAGCTTGAAGTAACATTTCATAGATCACAAAATGAGATTACTGAGATCATTATATCTGGTAGGTACATAAAGCACTTCTCTATGCCCTGAAATAGGCAACCACACACCACCATTGAGGGTGCCCAGATTTACAACATACATGCTCCAAACTGGTGCCAAAATGCCACCATATCTAGACTTGATGTAACATTTTGTTTTGCATTCTGACTCAAGGCCAGGCCTCCAGCATCATCACCAACTGAGCTTTGGAGTTGATGAATGACAATACTGCATGTATGCACACACACACAAGCACAATTATTTAGATGAGGCATTGCAAAATTACTGGACATTAAGTGAAATCCTGACATTTGTATGGAATTATATTACCTTGCTTCTGCACATCTTTGTGGACGCGGGATTTCTTCTCAGCCTTCACTTTTGGCATTGTGGCTACAAAACCTAGATGCTTCTTGAATTAAAAATTCACACCTCAGCAGACACCCGTTGGCTTTTTTTACTTGGGTACCTGTATTGCCGACGGTGGGGAGAGAAGCTTACGCTGGCTACAGGGTTCCTGTACTGCCATGATGGAGAAATGCTGTTAGGTATCAGCCGACGTAGTGACGTCACTGAAATGGGTTTGCATCGATCGGGATTCTTTTGGGCCGACTGAAGGCTACAAGGCATTTGCTAGCGATATGATGTCACTGGTATTCGACTGGATATGTGACGTCACTGGTTGTGAGGCTTAGGGCTCTTTTGGGTGCAATGAATGCCGTAAAGCATCACCTGACGATATGTCGTCGCTGGTATTCAATGAAACATCAGGCGCAACGGGCCTTATTCCATCTTTACCTTTCGTAACCTTCTGCTGCAAGCATTTGCGTGCCGAATAAAAGCTTTGACCGAATCACCTGAATGTGTGACGTCACCAATCATCACTTGATACGAGTGCACTTAGGCCCGCACGGCCCGCGGTGTATCATGTTCCGTGAAATATCACTGGGTATCGTGACGTCAGTGATATTCGACTAAATATTGGGTCGCAACACGTCAAGGTCCATTTTAGCTTCGTACCTGTCTACTGCAAGCACTGGCGTGATGAATAAAAGCTACCAAATCACGTGAGTGTGTGACGTCACTGGTCATGATGCATTTTATGGATCTTTGGGGGCCAACTGAGGGCCGTAAAGCATAACCTAATGATGTGACGTCACTGGCATTCAACTGTGTGTGATGTCACTTGTGATCAGATTTTACGAACGGCCTCTTTTGGGCCGACGAAAGGTCATACGACATTAACTGAAGATGTGCCGTCACTGGTATCCGAATACAATTCAGGCGGCCATGGCCATGCTCCATCTTTACCTTTAGTACCTGTCCATTGCAAGTATTTGAATGCTGAAGGAAGGGTCTGCCCGAATTACCTGAGTTGTGTAAACGTCACTAACCATTAATTTGTATAGACTGTTTTGAACCCACTGTAAGCCAATACCACATCAGCTGACCATATGACGTCACCGGGTTTCGTCTAGGTGTCATGCGCAACAGGGCCATGCTCTATCTTTGCCTTTCGTACCTGTTTACTGCAAGCATTCGCGTGTTATATCAAGGTGATGCTGAACCATCTGAGTGCGTGACGTCACTGGTCATGAGTTTATACAGGTTCGCTTGGGCAGCCCAATGCAACAAAGCATCAATAAATCCTGTAAAGCGTCGCGGGATGAATATGACGTCACTGGTATTCGACTCAACATCAGGCGCAACAGGCCATGTTCCATCTTTACCTTTCGTACCTGTCTACTGCAAGCATTCGCGTGTTATAATCACGTCATTGGTTAAGAGTTTCTTACGGGCTCTTTCAACCCCCTATATGGTATAATGCTTCAGTTGACGATATGATGTCACTGGTGTTCGACTTAACATCAGGCACAACATGTCATATTCCATCTTTGCCTTTCGCACCTGTTAAAGTAGTGGCGAGCCTAATGATGGCTCTGCCGAATCACCTGAGTGCGTCATCATGAGTTTTTACAGGCTATTGTTGGCCGAGTGAATCCATTAGGCATCATCTAACGATATGTCGTCACTGGTAATCCACTAAGTGTGTGACGCCATTGTGTCATGAGTTTTCCCCGCGCCTTTTTGGGCCGACTTAAGGCCATTAGGCATCAGGTAACGATATGACGTCACTGGTATTCAATTAAGCATCAGATACAATATGTCATGTTTCATCTTTACCTTCCGCACCTATCTACTGCAAGGATTCGCGCGCCACATAAAGGCTCTGCCCAATCACCTGAGCGTGTGGTGTGACTGGTTTATGAGTTTACGCGGGTTTTACTCGGGCTGACTGAAGGACATCAAGCATCATCTGGCGATGCGACGTCACTGGTATTCAACTTAACACCAGGCGCGACAGGCCATGTTCGTCTTTACCTTTCGTACCCTGTCTATTGTAAGCATTGACATGCTTAAGGAAAAGCTCTGTGAAATCTCCTGAGTGTGTAATGTCACTGGTCATGAGTTCTTTACGGGCTGCTTTTTTGTACCTATAGGGTACAAGACATCAGTTGACGATATGACATCACTGGTATTTGAACTTAATCTCAGGCGCAAACAGGCCATGTTCCATCTTGCCTTTCGCACCTCTATACTGCAAGTATTCGCGCGCTACATAAAGGCTCTGCCGAATCACCTGAGCATGTGGTGTAACTGGTCATGAGTTTACGCGGGCTTACTCGGGATGACTGAAGGACATCAAGCATCACCTGACCATATGACGTCACTGATATTCCGGGCTGTGGCCCCAGACTTATGGCCGCTAGGCGGCGCCCTTGATTATTATTTAGCCATCAGGGCATTCCGGACCGTAGCTGCTCAGGGGCGCATCCTGTGATTGTCGGGCGGAATAGCTTTGGCTAACATATACGTCGGTTTGTGGGCTGGGAAAACCTTTGTTTTGTGTTTACGTTGGTTCAAAATTTTAGTCGTTGAAACAGCCGTTGCGTTTGAAGTTGTTACTTAATGGTGCGCACAATAAAATTAGTGTGCTTAACTATGGTGCATCTCCCACCTCTGCTGCGGAACTCCGTAGCCGTAGGTGGCCAAGTGACCTCCTACCAACTGATGATCAGTGACGTCACATACTCAGGTGATTCGGCGGAGCCTTCATATAGCACGCGAATATTTGCAGCAGCCAGGTACGAAAGGCAAATATGGAGCATGACCTGTTGCGCCTGATGTTTAGTCGAGCACCAGTAACGTCATGTCATCAGCTGATGCATTATAAACCTAAAATGGGTTCAAAGGAGCCCGTAAAAACTACTTCGTGACCAGTGACGTCACACACTCAGGAGATTCGATCGGAGCCTTCATTCAGCACGTCAGTGCCTTAATAAACAAGTACAAAAGCGTAAAGAAAGTACGTGGCATGTTGGACCTGATGTTAAGTCGAATAACAGTGACGACATATCATCCTGTTGATGCTTCACGGGAGGTGTTGCTTTGTGGCCTTGGGCGGGCCCAAGTGAATCCGTATGAACTCAACCACCCGACGTCACCCACTCAGATGATTCGTCTGCAGTTTAGTTGATTACCAGTGACGTCATATCGTCAGCTGATGCTTGATGTCCGTCAGTCGCCGAGTAACCTGCACAAACTCATGGCCAGTTACACCACACGCTTCAGGCGAATCGACAGAGCCTTTTTGTAGTGCACGAATACTTGCAGTAGGCAGGTGCGAAAGATAAAGATGAAACATGGCTTATGCAACTGATGTTAATTCGAATACAAGTGACGCCATAACGTTATCTGATGCCTAATGACCTGAACTCGGCCAAAAAAGGCCCGTAAAAGCTCATGACCAGTGACGTCACACACTCAGTGGATTACCAGTGACGTCATTTCGTTAGCTGATGCCTTATGGCTTTCGCTCAGCCAAAAATAGTTGGTAAAAATTCATGACCAGTGACGTCGCACACTCAGTGACTCGGCAGAGCCATCATTTAACGCACCAATACTTTACAGGTACGAAAGGCAAAGATGGAACATGACCTGTTACGCCTCATGTTAAGTCGACACCATTGACATCACGTCGTCAACTGATGCATTTTCCTTATAGAGGGTTCCAAGGAGCCAGAAAAAACTCATGACCAGTAACGTTACACACCCAGGAGACTCGACAGAGCCTTCATTCAGCACGTCAATACTTGTAATAGGCGGGTACGAAAGGTAAGATAGAACATGGCCTGTCGCGCTGATGTTAAGTCGGACACCAGTGACGTCATATCATCAGATGCATTATACCGTTTGGGGGTACAAAAGGTCCCGTAAAAAGCTCTTGACAAGTGACGTTACTTACTCAGGAGACTCGACAGAGCCTTCATTCAGCACGCCCATACTTCCAAGAGACAGGTACGAAAGGTAAAGATAGAACATGGCCTGTCGCCTGAGTTTAGTCGAATACCAGTGACGTCATATCGCAGCTGATGCTTGATGTCCTTCATTCAGCCAGAGTAAAACCCGCGTTAACTCATAACTAGTTACACCACACGCTAAGGTAATTCGGCAGAGCCCCTGTGTCGCGCGAATACTTGCAGATAGGTGCGAAAGGTACAGACGAAACATGGTTTAGATGGAGCATGGCCTGTTGCGCATGATGTCTAGTCGAAACCCAGTGACATCATATCGTCAGCTGATGCCTTATGGCCTATAGTAGGCTCAAAAGAGTGCAAATTAATGGCCAGTGACGTACACACTCAGGTAATTTGGCAGAGCCTTCCACGGCAATGCTTGCAATGGACAGGTACCAAAGATAAAGGTGGAACATGGTCTGTCGCGCCCGAAGTTCATTCGAATACCAGTGACGTCACATCTTCAGTCATTGCCGTATGACCTTTCGTCGGCCCAAAAGAGGCCGAAAACCTCATGACCAGCGACACGCACATCGAGTGCCAGCGACGTCACATCGTTAGCTGATGCTTTATGGTCTTTAGTTGGCCGCACAAAAAATCCGCCAATACTTGCAGCAGACGTACGAAAGGTATAAATGGAGCATGACCTGTTGCCTGATGTCAGCCAAATACCAGTGACGTCATATCGCCAGCTGATCCTAACGGCATTTCGTCGGTCCTATAGGGCCCGTGGAAACCCCGGCCATTGACGTCTTACAGTCGTATAGCAGTGACGTCGCTAGCTGACACCTTGTGGCTTCAGTTGGCCGAAAAGCACCGTTGGAACTCATGGCCAGTGATGTCACACACTCAGGGGTTCGGCAGCTTTCATCCAGCACGCCAATGCTTGCAGCAGACAAGTACAAAGGTAAAAATGAAGCACGGCCTGTTGCACCCAGTATTTATTCGAATACCAGTGACGTCACGCTATCCGGTGGATACTTCGCGGACCACGACACACCGTGGTCGTGGGGCCTAAGTGCACTCGTATGAAGTGATGATTAGGGACGTCACACATTGGGGTAATTCGGTCAAACCCTATCGGCACGCAAATGCTTGCACCAGAACAGGTATGAAAAGTAAAGATGGAACGAGGCCGGCCGCGCCTGATGTTCAATCGAATACCAGTGACGACACATGGCCAGCTGATGCACTACGGCATTCAGTTGACCCAAAAGAGCCTTACACACTCACGACCAGTGACGTCACATACCCAGACAATACCATGACATCATATCAAGCAAAGCCTTATGGCCTTCAGTCGGCCCGAAAGAACCCCGACCCCGATCGATGCAAAACCATTTTCAGTGACTCACAATGTTAGCTGATGCCTCACAGCTTTTTGCCCGCACGACAATACTCGAACCCTGCAGCTAGCGTAGCTCTTCCCTCCGTCTGGGCCATACAGGTACCCAAGTAAAAAATTACCCACCCGTGTAGGAGTCACTCCTTGTTCTTATGAGCGTTGTCAGATATGTGCAATACAACTGTTGCTCCTCCAGATGACAGCAAGGGACACGCGCGATCAAGGCGCGTGGTACATAACATACGTCTATAGATCACCGCGTGCTATATGTCTTTGCTGCGTCATAACCATGCCAAGTTTTTATTGAAAAATCGCAGCCAAATTTACGTTTGGTAAGTAGGCACCAGATGCACACTGATTCAGGTCCACATTCGGGATCCAGTGAACTCCTCAGGTTGGCCTGAAACTTCGCACACAGGTGCAGCTTGGTCTTCTCAGCATTATGAGCGCAAATTCTTGGATCAGTACGCGTTATTACCGGAGATACTTAAATATGAAAAATCACGAAATGAACCTGAATCTGAACATGAAATCTCGGTGCCAACCTTGCGAACTTAACACAATCAGAGGTGATTTTGCATTAAACATATTCAAAAATATCCAAAAAACAAATCAATCCTGTTTTGCAAGGTACCGCTTATGATGCAGCCTTTATGAAGTCTCTTGTCATTTAAGCGGATCGTTTGAGTACAGTGCGACTCAAACGTGCGCGGGTGTGCGCCCCGATCAGGTCAGGCCGGATCGCGCAATTTTTTGTTATTATTTTTGCATGCAAAATGCTGTCAAGGTATGCTAATGTAATTTTCTAAACAACATCAGCATGCCTTGTAGCATCTGTCTGTGCTGAAATTGGGGGATGGCTGCCCCAAGCTTCGAGCACTCACCTTACTGTTGACATCCACGCTGCTGAAACTGGTACCATATCACTGTTACATCAGTCGTGTTTGCAATGCATGTATTTCTTACATATTTGAAAGCTTAAGAGTTACAGGTAAAGGGCAATAGATACAAAAAGATAATGGATAGTAGTCAGCATGAGAACTCTGAACTTGTAATATAAAAACAGCAATTGCTTGCCACTGTTCTTATTTATGCCATGCATTTGATTGGACACCAAGAAACCATCAGAATAGCGTACTGTAGTGCGGATCTCAGCACATGGTTATTAGATGTAGCATGTTCAGAATTCTGTACTGATATGCACATTGGTTTGATGACTAGTTTTTAGCCACTTGAGCTTGTTGAGGAAGGGACCTTCAGGCTTCTGCTTATTTAAATTCTGATAAGTGTCAGGTAGGGCAAGATATGATCACAATGTTTGAATAATTTTTTGGTTTTGCTGTTTTCTTCCCATCTCTGGTCAGTTTATTTGAAATTTTGTTATATGCTACTTTTAGTATTTCTTTGTACCATAGCTTGCAAATCAGGTAATAATGGACAAAATGATATGGCTGCACGCAAGGTTTAGAATACATGAATGCTAATGGAATGCCATTATTCAGTCAGCAATGATGAAATGTCTTGTCTGGCAACACAGTGCTATTGTTAGACCCGTTCATCAGGCTCCATCAGAGTATGTTTTTGAAACTTGCGCCAAGGATGTGACACTCCCTTCAATATGTTGGGCTAAACCCCCAAAATATTGGTCTTGAAAATTGGCATAATATCAGTCTCCTTCCCCCTCTTAACAGCTTTTTAGTGCAAAGGCTCTCTCAGTAGGTGTGGCAGAAGCAGTGACCAATGTCAAAGTCTGTTCACTTTTAATGTTAAAAAGGGATGTGGTTCCTTTATATCCAAATGGGCATGTCCTGGAATATAGCATGTATTCATTCATTGGGTGGTGATGAACTCATTATATGCAGAGATGTTTTGAACTTTGTGTATGCCTCTTAGTAATATTGTCAGAAGGTTAGCAATGCTGTAGGAAACATCTCCTAAGATAGTGACTCTTGATTGACTGATTTGACCTGAGATAGTAATTCAGCATGAAATAGCGACCAAGCGTGTTGTTCAGCCAAACTGCGTCAGAGGTCTCCCCTCCCCACCCCCTTCCATTGCAGTAACACAACAACAGCTAAGCTGCCCGCTGGGTGGCAGGCTGCACACTGGTCCCACTGGCATATGCATATAGCTGCCTGGTGGTTGTCACTTGGAATTTAAATCACTGACACCTGTAGTGGATAGTGCCGACCTCTGACATGTTCCCATGCACTTCATGCAACTATTGAATGCATAATGATCAGCGCAATTGCGTCACATACAACCGCAACAATCTGTTGAGACGGAAGTGCCAGAGCCGTCTGTGTTATGAATAGCAAGCAGAACCCTAGCATATAGGATTTCATTGCGTTGTACGAGCACCATACAGTATCAAACGTAGAACGAGCCGGTCCGTGACCAGGGCCGACACGCTCGTTGGATGCTGCACCCCACACCCTGTTCACTGATGAACAGCCATGGCGGCCGGGGCTCAGGTGGCAGCTGACATGGCGCAGAGTGGGGACATGGCGCAGAGTGGGGACGCGCACGTGACGGCGGCGCCCGGCGCCACGTTCAAGGAGCGCACCGTGGAGGAGCTGCTGCGGCTGCACTTCAGCTCACCGCGCACTCGACTCAGCGCTGACGGCCTGCGCCTGGCGACGCTGGCGCTGCGCCTGTACGTGCGCGAGGCGGCGCTGCGCGCGGCCGACCAGGCGCAGCTGACGCTGGCGCCGTCGGTCGGCCTGGAGCACCTGGAGAAGGTGCTGCCGCAGTGGCTGCTGGATGTGTGAAGCCACCTGTCGGCGGTGGCGGCATGGCTCGGCACGGCTCGGCAGCCGGCGCTGGTCGGTTCGACGCGGGCCACCGCTAGGCAACCCGTGCCGGCGCGGACCGGGCGAGCTGACAAGCCTGCGAGTGGGTGCACTGGGAATGCGGCTCCTTGTCCTTGACGTGACTTGCTCTGGAGGCGGCCGCTCGCGAGGGTGGTGCGTGCTCCACCCTATGCATTGTTGTGTTGTGACCATGGTTAGCGGAGGACATCCTTGTGTGCTGAAGCGGGGACATGCGCAGATAGATCTTCCTCGTCTAGCGTCAGTCCGCCGCGTATCGCACGCAGCCGGATGGCATGTTGATGCCGTCGACAGACAGCCAACGGACGATGTGGTGGGGTGGTCTGGCAACGTGATGATGCGTGGTGACGTGGAGGAGCGCCGTTCGTTGTCCGAGGCTGAACGGAGCTGACTGACGGCTGGTACTGTGGGGCTGGAAAACGCTTGCCGTGACAGCGACGCACATCTACGTGCCAAAGCGTGAACCATTATGTGAGGGAACGTTCACTTCGCTCAGCTCGTCATTGTTATCTTCTATTGCGTATGGGTTGCTGATGCACTTCCTTGTTGTGTCCGTGTCGATGATTTGGTAACCCATCGAAAACATATGGCAATGCCAAGTTTATTCAATATATCCATGACGACAATCCACAACCTCAGAATGATGCTGACTCGCGGTGGTCGAAACAATCGTGTATAGGATTCACCGTAGCTTGAAGTCAGTCACCATTTAAACTGAGGACTACTTAACTGAGACCACGGGTCTGTGGTTCTCAGTGATATTTACGAGTTGACATTCGACCTTGCTGTCTATCTACGCTCTGTGATTCAAACCGGCGATCATCACAAACCCGTGACGTTAGCGTTGTAAATCATATTTATATTTCCTTGGGACGCTTCCGCTTTTAATTTACAATGTATAACTTGCACGCGCATATAATAAGCACATCAATGCTCACGAATGTCACAACATGCTCAGGAGATCGATTGGGAGCATAAATAATGTTGAATAGACACCCTGAAACCCCCAAACATTAGCTTGCTGAGACACGTGCGTAACAATTGCCTTAACCTCGGACACTTTGGAGGCAGGGGCATCCTCAGAGCTCGCGCCTATTTTCGGGTGATTGGCCCATGACCGGACTAGCGCTCGTCCTCCCGATCCTGGCCAGAGTCTGGTTGGCACGCGTCCTCCCGGTCCCAACTCGGGCCAGGTTGGCGCTCGTCCTCGCGGTCCTGCCGCGCACCAGGTTGGCACTCGTCCTCCCGGTCCTGGCTCGGGCCAGGCTGGCGCTCGTCCTCCCGGTCCTGGCCCGAGCCGGGGTCGGTCCGCCCTCCCGGTCCTCGTGATGCCCTCAGGGATTTCATTCCGCCAGTACAGCCTGGACGAACTCTGTGAAGGCGTTGATGCGTTACACCCGTGCAATGGTGCGCTCCCGGCGCCTGGCACTTTTTGAAACAACGAGAAAATAAAGAAAAGTACGGTCAGGAGCTACACCCAGTCAGCGTTCATATTCCAATATTAAGCTCACTTGTCCATTGGGCTTACCGGGGTAAGTGATCCTGCTGTCACCGTCTTCGTCCACCTCCTCAACCATTTCTTCAACTGTGTGACAAGAAGCCCAGTGTTAGATCATGACTTCAAACCATGTCACGATGCTTGGTTTAAGTAAACAATCTAGGAAGATAGCTCGTCAATGCTGAGAAATGTCTGCGCCAGGTAGAACTCAGGTTAATTCTCCATTGTTTTAATCATTCATAAACAACTCCATAGTGCGAGCTATTGCAAGGCACGACGTATGCCTACTTACTTTCGTCCAGAGAAAACTCCTTTCCGAGGTTCTTCAGTACCGTCCAGATATCTTTCGGTCCGATGATTCCGAAGTTTTGACGGTCGAAAATCTGCAGGTATCAAAGATGGTGTTTAACGATGGTGGCGCGGCTCATGGCTAATCCTCGCCAGCTGGCGTTTTGCCATAACTCACACTCTTATCATCCATACATCAAGAGACATGTATATATTTGTGACCATTACCTGGAAGGTTTTGCGGAGCGTCATGTCCCGCTCGTAAGCCGTCTTGACCTGCTCCGCACGCCTCGCCCGCGCCAGCGCATTGACGAAGTCGTCGAACGTGATCAGACCGTCACCTGGGGGCGGCGGAGCGGACGTGACAGGGGTGACAGCCCCTGCCGACAAACTCCGCGGGCGGGAGCGCCGGCCGCAGGCGCGGCGACACTCGGACCTTTCGGGGCTGGTGAACACAGAGCAAGCTTCGGCTGGACTGCCCCAGGCTACTGCTCGGGCGTGCATTATTGCCATGTGGCGTTGTCATATAGCATGGCTTACGGTACTTCACCAGGTCCCACTTTTCATGCCCACAAACTCGCGGTGCTACGGCTTTCCGGAACTGCTGGTTATGCGGAAACATCACATGTATGGATGTTGGTCGTAGGGCGTCATAAATCAAAACCCCTAAAATGCGCACGCAATTTGAATACTTACCGTTGATGTCGGTCTTGGTCATGACGTCTGTCATCTCTGTGTCGGTGATGTTCAGTTCGATGCTGCGGAGGACGTTGGTCAAGTGTTCCGAGGAGATGGTGCCATCCTCGTCCGTGTCCAGCAGGTCAAACTGACGCCGCAGGGCTGCAGGGCGAACAAACGGGTGTGAGTACCCCCGAGTGTACCCATTAGATGACACTTGAGCTCGAAGAGCATTCGCCTCTCAGGGCTCACGGTCTCAGGAAGCAGAGGATTATGCCTTTGTTGTCCTGCAAAGATCGATCACCGACGGCAATCTGGAGTAATGCCATTCGTGCGGCTCCTTCGAATTTGAAATGATTGCCAAATTTTTATGTCTCTTTTTGCACGTCTTACTAAAAAACCCTAAATTACGTTGACTCAGAGTGCCATGCTGGTGACTGAAGCCGTCCACCTGAGTATCAGAAACATGGCGCCGAGCCCCTCATCGCGCACTCACAGTCCAGGTCGTCGCCGACGAGCGTGCCGCTCTGGGAGTCGTGCTGTGCCATCGCTGTGCGGTGCTCTGCCTCTGGTCTGGTCTGCGTCTGCAGCTGCTCCGTCTGCGTGTCGGTCTGGCGGCGCTGCGGTGCGCTGTTGCGACGGAGCGTGGCCGACGTGGACTGCGGAGGTGTCGCTCGCTCGCCGCTATATACGCCGCGGGCGGAGCCGCTGCCGGCGGAGGCGCCGCCTGGTGCTTCCCGACACGTCAGGAGCGGATGCTGACGCGGCCTCCCGCGGTGACCCGCACGTGTCGGTGCGTCACCAGGTCAACTAGCGACTGGCGCTGGTCGCCGTATCGCATCAGAGCGCCAGGATTAGCGCGGCTGTGGCAATTGCCATCCGTGGCGAGCGTGAAGGCTGCATAAAACCTGCGTGGTGTTCTCACCTTTCTGTACTCTTGTGCGCCACATCTTGCGCTGCCCCGTGGGAATAGGCCGTGCTGGGAATTCTATTAGTCCTGGTGCCTAAGTGTTATCAACGGATATGGTCTGACAAATTTCGTATAAGGTTTGTTTTGCAAAGTAAGCACTTTTAAGCCTAAACAGTTGACAGGGAGTGACACCGCAGGTTAAATCGGTGGTACAAGTACCAATGCTGTTGAATATAAAGAGCATGTTTGGAATCAGCTGTTTGTAAAAAAAAAACATTACATGTTCTCAGGTCTTTTCATGCCAAGCTTTTTTGCGACAAGAATGCATCTAAGAAAAAAAACCTAAATACTCTGAAAACATCGCCCATTTCAAACGACCAACATATTTACTTGATACTGAGTTGAGTGCCGTAGCACTGCCTTTAAGTTACATAAACCCATCTATGTTATCCGAATATTGTTTATATGCGACCCTGCGTCATATGAGGGCATCAAACAAATCACCAGACGTCCATTGTACCTGTCATCTATTTCACTTCGCCTTTTTGCATGTGAAAGTGTGGGGATTTTTTCCAGCATGCTTACTCACCCATCCGATGCCACTGCTGGCTACGTTAGGGCCCTGAGGATTGGAGCACCAGTAGTGGTGCCAGGACCCTGGTTAGGAACCCATCTAATTTCAATACCGTGTCAACTTGTTCAGAAGCGACAGGCGAAAAACCTGAGGTCTTTCAGTTCTCACACAAGACACGAATAAGTATTGCACCAGCATCCACCGGTGTTCTGATAAGCTCCCCGTGCTATGTCTGTGCCCACATCAGGAAAATGAACAGCAAACAGGATGCACGGCATCTGGGGAGACAGCTGGGGGAATCACTTTTACGTTTTATTTCGCTGCCACTGAAGTTCAATCGCCTCGTTTTCGCTACTACTGGAGTTCAATCGCTTCGTTTTCGTTGCTGCTGGAAGTGTTTTATGGCTCTCGCTGGTTTATGCACATGTGTCATTTTGCTCTGCTGTCTGTGTTTTGTGCGAGCGTTTTCACTATTAGGCAACCCGCCGTTTTCTCCACTTCAAAATACGTTTTCGATGCGGATGCACCTGAACGGTGTTTATTATTGACTTTCAGGCCCTTTTAACGTTAACATATGTGATCGGTTTTACGTCACTGCTCCCTTTTTCGACTGGGTTCTGAGAAAAACAAGTCACAACTGTGTCAAAGCACAGTCAGCATCGGCAAGCAAGCATGGAATGTAAGACGCAGGTGTTAGTAAGACCGCCGAATAGCTGGCTCCCGGCGCAATGTTTTGCATGCAAACAAAACAGGGCTCCGCCGGTACGTCTAGACGACCGTCTCAACTTCCGAGTCGTCCGTGATAGCGCTGACGAACTCTGAAACAGGTTGGGATGCGTTGGCGAGCGCGTATTTGATGATTGCTTAGCGCTAGGCGCTCACTCGCCTCCAGTCACATGGGCTGTTACTGTGTTATGTTCTGTCTTATGTGGCGGTCAATGCAGCACTCCCTTGGTCATTCTGAGGCGATGTGCAGCCTTTGACGATCAAGTCGCTTTTATTTGACAAGGAGGAGTGCTTATTCTGACTGCTGTAGTCACCCATGATGTTGACGTTGTTTGGCCAGCATTTATGCCGATGAATTCTGCAGTGGCGGTCGACTGGATCGGTCGACCGGACCGGACCACCGGTCTGTCGAATGATCTGTCGCCTGGTCTGTCGTCCGATCGGTCGACTGGCCTGTGGTCCGACCGGTCGACTGGTCTGTCGTCCGACCGGTCGACTGGTCTGTCGTCCGTCCGGTCGCCTGGGCTGTCGTCCGACCGGTCGACTGGTCTGTCGTCCGACCGGTCGACTGGTCTGTCGCCGCCGGGTATTTATGGCCGGTTCCGACCGGGGTCACCTTTCTCAAACTGCCCACTTTATGTTTGAAATGCCGGCAAGGTATTTGTACCAACATCTAAGAAAGGCTGCAGTGAGCATTTTAAAAAAGCCTCAGTAAGTCCCTCACTGACAAAGGACAACGGTAGGAGGAGCCATTCGCCAAAAAGTGCTGAAGCAGTAACACTAGAGATGGTTAGCACTCCCACTGATAATCTGATTTCTGCTAATGCCAGTCCCAGGCATTTAGTGACACATTTCTTTTAGCATAACGGCTTTTGTACTCGTGCCGTTAAGGCACAGCTTGAGCAGGTGGTTTGAAATCTTATTTAAAGGTCTTCTCACCCATCAGTGTTAGATTGGGGTTTCAACTTTTTTCAGAATTGTCTGGCGTCACTCGGAATTACATTCACTCACCAAAGAAGTCGATTCTTCCGTCTCCATCAATGTCGACCTCGTCAATCATCGCCTCAACTGAAAAACGTCCACGGCATGATGTGAGACAGTACCACACGGTTCACAATACTATAACAGTACAACGAACTGAGCTTATCATTTGCTACCGCAGTATTCACACGTATATGGAGATGTAAAAGCAAAGGAATAACATCAGGAAATAAATCGCAAAGAATTCTACGTCGAATTAAATCCAGTTTCTTCCAACCAAAGGCACGCGTATTATTAGTGCAATCCATTGAGGTATAATACAAAAACCGAGAAAAGCGCACCCCCTAATTAGACAGCCCAAAGCACGTTGCTCCAACATTGTTAGACGCTGGTATTTTGCTGTGGTGCTGATGTGAAATCCACGTGATCAATCACTGGGACGGGTGAGCTGCCACTCTTGCAAAGACCTTTTGAACTCGCTGAAAAGGTGAAAGCTATTGCCATGCCGGCCTCCTGATTCATGTTCAAGTATTTGCCGACTTTTTCAACATCATTCAAGGTGCTAATTAATAGCCCCCAGAAGTAGCATCGTTGTCACGATAATTGGTAAGGAACGCCACGTGAAAGAGCACGAACAACATATAAAACCTTGCCTTTATGTCACGAGACCACATCTCGTTATCAGTCGTTTCGTCTCAGAGCAAACCAACCATATAATGGACTGCGTAGAACAATGACGTCAGGCCTAGATCAGGGGCGTTATATTACAAACCTAGTAAATTAGAGTTCTGACTTTGCGTCACACATGACCGTATCTTTAGAAGCGTGGTGTGAACCCTGATATACTTAGGAAGATGCTTTAAACTTCACTTATAAGAAGCACGGACAATATTCATCAGAGTACGTATAAAAATGTACAAACGCCAAACCATAGATCGCATCCATTCTGTGCCTATCAACTTGCATTATTCTCGCCACGGCTGCAGAATCACCGTCGCCTTGTCACCAGGGCGGGGATTAATATGTTTTGAATTTGAAAAACCGAAGGCATGAAACAGGTCCTTCGTAGTTGCACGGCATCTCTGATAAATAGCCTCTCCAGTCAACATGCCTGACTCGAGGCCGATGGAAACTCCTTCCTCATTTTGGTTCCACCCATCGAACTTGTTGCAATATTCAGCATTGCACTTCTGGCTCCATGGCTATCAGTAAGCCGAGCGATCAGGGCTTTCCACGGGCTCCCGAATTCTATTCCGGCGCGTTCGGCTACAAGACCGGTCGTCTCCAGCCACGGGGCTCGCTTCCGTTGCGTCAACAGTGGTCGAATGAGGTGTCAAGAGGCGGCCTCACCCACCGCCGGAGCTCCCGTGCGGGACTTTCTGGCCGTGCCGGAACCCCAGACCGCGTGACGCCCACACCGGGGTCGCTCTGGGACGCTCGTGCGGCGATGTGCGACCGCGACAGGCTCGCGCCTCCGCCGGGGCGGCCGGCAGTGTTGACACGAACACGGGGCACGGCGTAGTGCACGAGGAAAAGGCGGACTGCATGCTGCACCGGGCAAAACTTTAAACAACGTTGCATACGTTTGTACCAGGTCGGCTACATGTCGTCGTTCTCCCCGCGTCTCCACTCATTCAACAGCCAATATTTGAGTTTGCGGTGCAGCCGACAAGACTTGCGCTGTCCGGTATAAGCAGCCTCCCATGAATGTGCGCCGCACCCATAGGCTGTGCATAAACGGACGGACCGGACCGAAATGAAACTAAAGACGCTTGAAACAGGGTCCACGTGTTAGGCTTGTTGAACATGAATGCAGGCCTTTGCCTGATGGTTGTTCTTCCATACTGCTGCCCTGAATTCAAAACAGCAGCGTCATGTGATTGGCGGGCCACTGGGTGAAAACAACACGTCCCGCGGGACTTTGACCCGCGCGGAGAGATGGGACATCCCAGGAGCAGGCACAGCTCAACCTGAAAGCATCCACACACCAGTGGCGTACTCAGAGTGAGGATCTTGCAATTGGCTATTGGCTATTGCAGGGTACGCAGGCAACAAGCTGCGAGTACAAGCAACGAGTTCCAAGTAACCAGCTACAATTGATGGCCTGTTAGGTGATCTGTCCAGGCGTTTACGACGTATGCTTACTGAAGAACGGAGTAACTTCTTCCTTCAGATTCCCCCGTGAGCAGTAACATTTGATGGCTCGTTATGTGATGAGTCCGGATATTGTCTGGCATTTCCCAACACTCATAAAACTCGTCTTCATAAAAATTGTGTGGCCTATAACCAGTTTGGTAAAACGAAGTTCTTCTTACTTCTGGATGACCCAAGTAAATTGGGCGTAGCTCCCTATTTCCTATACTAATTTCATACACCAGGCAGGACCCCCTGAGTTACTTGTGAAATGTTCAGTAATTTCCCACAGCAGGTTTATTTTAAATATGTTGGTTCTTTTCTCCTGGCCATGCGCCAGGTTCTCTGTGATCATCAATGCTAATTTCACTACGAGGCAGAGCATCTGTCCATTTGATTCCAGTTTCGAAGTGGATATCTATTGCATGGTCAAGCCAGCCGCATTTATGGACCACGATGGATCATCGCTGAAGAGCGACGTAACTCCTTCCTTTGAATATCCCGGAAAGCAGTAAAATTTTACGGATATAGAACATAGCTGCTCCCTACCTTTTGCAATCGGATTTTAATAAAAAGTTTTGGAATTTACTTCCTCCGTCGAAATTAAACGTTTTTCTTTCCTTATGAAACCTATTACGATAGGTCAAAAGCACCGTGCAGGCAGCGTGTGTGGTCTGCTGGGCCCTGTGAAAGTTTCATGCAGGTTCCATCTATGATTTATATCTGGAAGTACAATGGATTTTGAAGGCAGCTGATTGTGATGTACGCTTTGCTAGCTCTCGCCCCCTGAAATGAATGCCTCAAGGGAGATACAACAGCAGTTGAATGCCGAGCTTCAAGGGTTATGAAAATGGAAGGAATGGAAAGTATCGGACTTTGACTCGCATATCAATCCTGAGCTTTGCATATGAGTCTTGACTGAAACCACGTGATGAAATATGACGTCACTAAAAAATGGCGCCGCGAAAAATTGCCCTTCCTTGGAATATGTTTGGCAGTCCCTTCCGTGAATGTCTGAATGTCTGAACTGACGCAAACCAGGACCAAATGTAGCGGGACACTGCAAGCAGTACCAATCGTTTGCGTCTCTGGCGCTTCATAGAGTGCAGCCCGGCAGTGCACGCAGACCACGGCCGCCACCAGCCCTCACTGTCATCGTCGCTGAGCCGCTCCCCCAGACACTGCAGCACGGCGCGCAGGTCCGACGCGCTGATGAAGCCGCGACCGTGCTTGTCGAACACCTGCGATCGCAAGCGGTACGCGGGTCAACACGAACAGATGGGACCAACCACGAACAGGCGAGGATCGAGCACGGACGAAGGGGGTCGAATATACGGGTGGAATCGAATACAGCAGCTGGGAGCGAAATCAAGGCCGGGTTGAAGACATCTTGGCGTGGTCAAACACAAACAGATTTGCTTAAAAACAAGTAGTGAGGGCGGGTCCAAGTGAACGGATCAAACAAAAAACCTAGGGGATCGAACATAGGCATGTAAGGGTCGAATACGTTCATGTGAAGGCAGAACACAAACACGTCAGGCTGAGTTCAGACGGGAATGCATCGAACCAATAAAATACTGGCCAGCAGCAGCTTGGCTCGAAAAAAAAGAAGAGGAACTAGCTGTCACGGACAGCAACTATAATTCAACACGAACCACTGAGCTAGACCAAGCAGCTGAGATCAAAGGCAAACAGATGGACAAGCACAAATAAGTGAGGTCAAGCACAAGCAGCCCAGGTACGACACAGAACAAATGTATTAAGCACGAATACTTGGGATGGAACAAAAACAACTCAGGTGGAACACCTGCAACTGGAGTCGGACAGAAACAGCTTGGAGCATATGCTTGCATTTGAGATCGAACACAAACAGGTGGGAGCAAACATAATTAACTGGAAATCGTAGCGAACAACCGGGTCGGTTTCGGTCGCCGACGATCCATGCTGGCTCGCCCATGTCACGGATTGCATGGCGGGTGTGCAGTCGAGCGGTGGCGCTGACTGTGGAACACTGGGCTGGTGGTGGAACAAAGCCACCTTGAGATCAAACAGAGATTGCACTGTGATTGTGCGCAACAGGCGCAACAAAGAAGAAGGAACCAGTGTTCGCTGAGCGTTGTTTGCGGCAGGTGCGCGGTAATCAGAAGGCTGCTGTTCACTGTCTGCACTTTGAGCTCTTCCCCATCCCCAGCGTGACACGCTACGCAGTAGGCTTCGTACGTGATTCACGACAGCACACAATCTAGGGAATTGCTAGAAACGCAGAATAACTTTAGCGAGAAGCTGAACGTTGTTTCTGTGCGCAGTAATTTTCAGGGCATAGCTGACGTTAATCAGCTCGGCGCTTAGCTTGGGCCCATGGAAATCACCTCCCGTTCATCAAGCACTAGCAAGAGTACAGGTATGGTCCCATCACATAATTCATTACGCATTCATGCTCGATAGGTTTTGCGTCCCGGCTGCAACTACTCATGCAACATGCTTTACAGCCACGGGAAAAGAAGGAGCAACTACTTAGAAAAGTTGTCAAGCGTGCCATAATGTGTCTTAAAGTGTGCGTCCGTCAAAAATGTAGTGCGGTGAACTTAGGCTAATGTCACTGCAAGTTGGCATCACCGCTACCACATCTGCCACACAGTATCAGCCCCCCATGCTGACCGCTGCAGTTTGCCCTGTGTACCGCGTCGCAGCCCGTGGGGTGTGTTGCGACGCACAATACACGGCGACAGTTGGGACTGGTGAAGTGTGCTGCGACGCACGATACACGGCGACAGTTGGGGCTGGTGAGGTGTGCTGCGACGCGGTACACGGCGACAGTTGGGGCTGGTGAAGTGTGCTGCGACGCACGATGCACGGCGACAGTTGGGGCTGGTGAAGTGTGCTGCGACGCACGATGCACGGCGACAGTTGGGGCTGGTGAAGTGTGCTGCGACGCACGATGCACGGCGACAGTTGGGGCTGGTGAGGTGTGCTGCGACGCGGTACACGGCGACAGTTGGGGCTGGTGAAGTGTGCTGCGACGCACGATACACGGCGACAGTTGCGCTCGGTGAGGTGTGTTGCGACGCACAATACACGGTGACGGTTGGGGCTGGTGAAGTATGCTGCGACGCACGATACACGGCGACAGTTGCGCTGGTGAAGTGTGCTGCGACGCACGATACACGGCGACAGTTGGGGCTGGTGAAGTGTACTGCAACGCGGTACACGGGGACAGTTGGGGCTGGTGAGGTGTCCGGCGACGCACTGTAAGGTGGCACCACATACCGTTCTGGGCAGATGGAACGGTGCAAGTTTAGGGTTTCCATGCGGGGCAACAATTATGGGAATTACATTAGCTGTCAAGGAAGCGGGGCTTAGGAATGTGGGTCAAACACTTTTGTTAAAGTTTAGCATTCAACCTAATATGTCGTAATAAATTGAAATAATCGAAATCCAAAAGAATTTGGCATACCCACTATTTGCAACGTTCCTTTGCCTTTAGGCACATGAACTGAGGGGTACTGAGCTGTCACTGTTACTTGCGTTAATATCCCCTTGATTATGACTAGCCTGGAAGAGTGCAGTCTCAACACAGAGCCTGCTGGCCGGTGGCCGCGTGCTGCTGCGGCCTGTCTTACCCTGAAGGCGTCTCGCAGAGCCTGCTCGGCCTCGGCCCGGGACTGCTGGCCGCTCCCCGGGCCCATCTTGGAGACGATCAAGGCGAACTCGTCAAACGTGAAGTTACCATCTCCTGCAGAAACGGAGTCCTGTCGTTGGCATCTCGTCAGCACAGCCGTGTGTTCTGTTAGCTTTTGGTAATCTCATTGAGTGCATTGAGCACTTGCGACGTGTTTCACTGACATTTTGCAGACTTTTAGAACTAGTCCTCAGCGCACGTTAGAATGGTTCCAGTTCACACGAATGTGATGGGTGGTCTCAAATGCTGAAGTCAGGCAGCTTTTTCAGAACCATTACCTATGTGGAGTCAGATATTTTTGCATTCTTGGCTCGGCCTGACAACTCACAAGCTCCAACCAGCATTATGGCAGCAAGGCCTCCGACAAGAAATAACCGAGTGTTTGGAATTGCATGACACCATCACGTCCCTGCAGCCCAGGTTGGCTTCCTGACGAAGTACAACTGAAAAACAGTTAGGGGAGCGCAGCAGATGGCATGTAGTTGCGCTTTATTTAAGTCCCACAGTGGCCAGAGATGCTGCACGCCACTTGTCAGTATTAATCGTTGGCTGCACGAGCTGTCAAGTGAAATGTGGCATCCATTGCATTTACCATGTTGGAAGCGTTTTTACAGGTCCAGCGATGCGTGCATACCAACTACCTGAACCTCGTCCCGGCGGCCTGTCTGTCCAGTCAAGCGTGAATCGATCCCATGCGATCACGTCCCGTCCCTCCAAGCCTCATGTCGTCCTTCCACATCCCGCGCCACACCGTCCTCTACCATCGCATCTGTGATATCACGTGACATCACACCCAAATCCACCAGATACGATCTGACTCAGCGCGCTTCACACGTTTTATCTTATAATCGCACGTCGATACGGGGCTAATGGAAGTTCTCCCAGGTTGAAGGTGGTGGTGACAACGATCTTCGGTTTTTTTTCCAGTTAAAGGGAATGTCCCACGTTTGAAGATATAGAGTCAAGCGTCATAAATTTTGGAAACAACCCTGTAAAAAAGCAAACTATTGGCCTTCTTCTAAATCAAAAGACCTCTTCACATAAGATAATTTCATTATTTCGGTAAATATACTCCTCAATGCGTCATCACTTGATTACTTCATGAAACGATTGTATGACGTCAGAGACACTGCCAGACTGGCCTTGACAGAACTACCTCTGTAGCGGGCTGACTAACTTGTAACACTCCAACTCTCCGCAACTTGACTTGTCAATTTATGCCTGTGAACAATGACAATCATTATGTGTGCATGTTTTTGGTTCTTTCCTGTAATGTGCTTGCACATTTTTCTTCATGGAGAGTTTTTGCTTGCATTTTCATTCTTGTTTATGACGCTACTGTTGAGCTACTGGATTATCAGCCCCATATCGGTTATAACTAGTAGTAATAGCCAGATCACTGTTTTATGGATCGCAAAACGTCTGTCGTGGTCGGGACTTGAAATTTAACGCGTTAAGCTGGCTAGAAACCAAGTGCCGTCTGTTCATGCGATAATTCGCGCTGCCGTTTTTCAGACACGAATAAATTAATGATCATACTTTTATTGAACTTGAAGTTATTATAGCTATCGAGGTGGCGAAACTCGTATGATGTTTCCATGATGGCTCTGTGCGACTGCTGATTAGGGGGCGCAAAATAGTATGCATAAGCTTGTGTGCTTCTATCTCAGAAACGAGGGGATTTGAAGTGTTACAAAGGTCATAGTCATAAACTACAGAGAATACTCTTGAAATTGGCCATCTTAGTTTGAGACCCCACACAAACGTGGAAAATATCTGTACCTTCCATAGGGTAAATATCAAATTTTAAAAACGCATAGAGGCTTGTACAGGCTATAGAACTGAACACGATCATGATTTACAAGACCGAAGACAATCAAAATGCAAAATAAGTGCGCACTTTCTCATATGACAACACGTGAAACACGCGTCTCTGCAGTCCGTAGCTGGTGAAAACGACAGATAGTGACGTTGCGTTGCGTTGCGTTGCGTTGACTGCTTGCGGGAGCTTGCTCTGGTGACGGTGGTGACTGCTGGCGGGAGCTTGCTCTGGAGACGGTGGTGACTGCTGGCGGGAGCTTGCTCTGGTGACGGTGGTGACGGCTGGCGGAGCTTGCTCTGTTGACGGTGGTGACTGCTGGCGGGAGCTTGCTCTGGTGACGGTGGTGACGGCTGGCGGGAGCTTGCTCTGGTGACGGTGGTGACGGCTGGCGGGAGCTTGCTCTGGTGACGGTGGTGACGGCTGGCGGGAGCTTGCTCTGGTGACGGTGGTGACGGCTGGCGGGAGCTTGCTCTGGTGACGGTGGTGACGGCTGGCGGGAGCTTGCTCTGGTGACGGTGGTGACGACTGGCGGGAGCTTGCTCTGGTGACGGTAGTGACGACTGGCGGGAGCTTGCTCTGGTGACGGTAGTGACGGCTGGCGGGAGCTTGCTCTGGTGACGGTGGTGACGGCTGGCGGGAGCTTGCTCTGGTGACGGTAGTGACGACTGGCGGGGGCGTGCTCCGACCTTCAACGCCAAGGTGTGCGCAGTGTAAATAACTGCTTTGTTGCACTCAGTTTTCCTCATCACATGTTGAATCTAGGGTCTCGACTGAGGCGCAATTTCCTCAAGATAGGCGTCTGTAGAAAGGAGCAAACAGCGTGGTGGGCTGTCTTCCCGATTGGCTTTGACACATCGGTGACGTGGCTTGCTCTGACGTCAGAACATGTGACCACCTCAACACA